TCTGTGGAAAGGTGACCCCACAGGAAAAAAAATGAGCAATAAGAATACCTGTAATTTAATAAATGCTGAATAGATACATTTAATGTCCTTTTGCAGAATATTCTGGGCAAACAAATGACATCTCTAGTCAATCTCCGAGCAGATGACAGAACCTTCAAAAGTTACACAGTACATAACATTTACTAAACACTATAAAAAAGATGACGAAAAAAGTCAAAAACATGGTATTATTAAACATTCCAACTTCCATACAAGCAACAATGCCACCTACCCAGCAGTAAGCTTGTCATTAGCATAGTTAACATAGGGCCAGCACCCAAACAAGAGACTCTCTGTGTAATGAACCTTTGATAGCGAACCGAGCGCTTACAGAAGGCCACCAGAAACCCCACAGAAACCCCACAGAACAGCTCTCATGGCCCGAGTGGAGGGGACAAACTGCCAAAAATATACAACACAAGTCAGGGGGGACAAGCTAACAGCAAGAGCAGTCACGGCTAAATACAGCAATAAAAGCTGTATTGTCTAACTTGTACACAATAGTAGAGATTGCAGAAGCTGTGCCTGAATGAGTCACCATTATACACCATATCTGTCTTCCAAACAACCACAACAGGAAGACTATTGTTGTCAGACTGGTTATGGAGCCGCATCACCCCCAACTTCAGGCAGATATTATTTCAGGGAAAACCTTTAAAAACACCACAACGATTTAGTGAAGACTTAAGTACAATTAGAGGCTGCTTTGGGTTTAAACAAGAATGCGGGTGATTATCTCAGTAGGACAGAAAAGCACTATGCTATACCTATGCAGTGGTTAAGGTGTCTGAAAGCTTGCCACTACATTAACCAGAGCACATCATGATATAGCGTATAAAACAAACTATAATGCGACGCTTAAGGCAACCCCAGACTTTTGTTCAACTTATTAAACTACTTACAAAAGGGCTTAACAGATATTCCTTATGTATCAGACTGTACAGGTTACAAAAACGACCCTGAAGACCTTTGTTTTGTACAAAGTTGTAAACATGTTTATAGCAAAGTCACTCTTGGGCTTTAGAAGGTTTTCTACTTTCAATACCTGCCTCTAGGCCAAAGACATCTGGTTGCAATGTTTGTAAGATGCATAAAAATTTAGACTATTTCACTTAGTTATAACCCTGACAGTGTACTTGGTATGTTGTGGTATGGGACCCTAATAAAAAGGACTCACTTGGTATTAGAGATGTCACGAAGCACAATTTAGAGTTATGATTGAGTAAAGACCTCAAGATTACAACATTATTACACATACAATTACTCATTCCTCACAGTATGATCAAATGACAGTGAAATGTTAATTCTCCTTTATTCAAATGATCTAATATATAATCAAATATGTGACAAGCATTATGAAACAGGCCTGTCATGACATATTGCTGAAGGAAATAGACAATAAATTATAATAATAACCATAAAGCAGAATGATCCTCAAAAACTATTGTAAATGTAAAATCATGACCTGCAATGAATACATAACAGAATGCAACACTTAAGCATACAGTTTGTATCTGTAATGAGAAGTTAGTAGAAGTTCATGATTCAACCTTCTAGAGCTCAAATATCATTTCAGATCAGAAAAATAACCAAAATGTTCCCCAAAGTATAAAGTACAAAGAAAAAGTGACCCCCAACATATATTGTTCCATCTAACATAGACATATTATGAAATCAAACATAAGTTAATAAAAACACTTCACATTAAGGATTTGTGGATCAAACAGAATTTTGCTGTATGATTATTATATTTTATTTAGTTCTAACATTTATATTATAATTTGAATAATCACAATTTTTAAACCAAATAATGATGATTTGAAGACATATTTTTGCATGTCCACCATGTTGCATTTAACCTTTAAAGACGATCTTAGTCACTAGATAATTGATAACTCAGAGGCTTTAACATACTACAGCTTACAACAACTCATTTTGTTTTTTGTTACCAAGTGGATATGGAGACACATTAAGGATTTGTGGACCAAATAGAATTTTTCTGTATGATTAATACATTTTATTTAGTTCTAACATTTATATTATAATTTGAATAATCACAATTTTTAAACCAAATAATGATGATTTGCAGACATATTTTTTAAAACATGTCCACTATGTTGCATTTGACATTTCATTGACATTGACAATCTTAGTCACTAGATAAGTGGTAACTCAGAGGCTTTAACAAACTACAGCTTACAATAACTTATTTTGTTTCATTAACAAGTGGATATGGAGACAGCACTGCAAGAATGCAATAGGAATACTTGTATCTGATTCAGGATATTGATTGAGGATTGGGCAAACAGGTTGATGTAATGAGACCATTTACTGACAGTTGTTGGCCCAGAACATCTCATAATATTTTATCTTATACAATGTAGTTCGATGAAAAACAATTGATTTGTATTTTAAAGAAAGTTTTTTTTTTTTTTGGCTATGCTCTAGTATGGACTGATGTCGGCATCTAAACTAAAAAGCTGGATCTGTGCATCACTAGACAGCAGACACACTAGATGTGGCATCATGCAACGTTGCCATAGTGATCCAGGACTCAGACATAACGGTGTGATTGTGCAGGGGATGATCAGAGAGCTGGCAGACTGTTCCCGGGCTGTGACACTAGCCTCCTCCCGCCCACAGACATTTTAAAGACACGCCCAATGGCAGAAGGGCCGCCAGCACGGGGCCCAAACCAGTATGGAAACTCCAACTCAAGCCTCCCATGCAATTTCCATATACATTACTTACTTGGCCAGAACTCATGTCTGGAAATATCATAAATTACATAATATCAACATGTGGATTTCATTGATTTTTACAGCAATCATTAACCTATAACCTATTGTATTGTTCAATATCTAAACTAAACTAAGTAACATTAACTTTTACTCAATTATCAGTTTCAACTGGACAGTGCAGACAAGGACTATAAAATTGGGGTCCTTAAGCTTTTTGGATAACACATAATAACTCATCTAATAATTTGTTCCTTAAATACTTAAAAGTCTACTCATTGCCAATGAATCAGTGCATGACTTAACTTGTGGGCCTTGTCATGATGGACAAAAGGGAAAGTCATAGATGCCAGTTTGCACAGTTAGCTGTCAGTACACGTGAGCAGCAGAGAGCACAACCGTGTGAAAACAGGTCCAACGCGGCTCTCCCAGGATACTGTTGAACATGACAACATTACACAATCAATGTACACAGTTCATACAGCCCACTACAGCTTCTCTGCTTCTTTGCCTTCATGTTCTCAGATGTCATGTTGAGGTGAGAGATATATTGAAAAAAACATAATATCACAATTTATATATTGAGTACATTGTCCCTAATAATGTTAAAAAATATCTCAAAAAGAAACAAAAACGTAGTGTAAACTCTCAAACAAGGGAACAGTTCTGTCCCTTTGTGGTTAATTTTTGTGTCCAGTCACAAAAGGTAGATTCCTGATGTACTTTTAAAATATAGTTATAGATAAGTTATATATAGAAACAAACATTGGATAATGTTTTTATTGCCCAGACTACTGACAAAAAAACAAAGTTACTGCTGCCGCCGCCCTTAACCACTGTTTAAACAAAGCAGTGTCCTTTGTTTGTTAAGAACTATTTGGATTTATGGGATCTTATAAACGGCAGACTATATGACTGCAGTAGTCTGCTTTGTAAACACCAAACTGCTAATTTGTTGTGAATCACTCTTCCTGACCTGTGTTTTTTCTAAGAAAAATTACACTCACGCAGGCAGGCAAAGCACGGACCATTATACAATCTAATCCAACATATAATTATACCTTGAATTAGACAAAACAGAAAAGTATCTTTTTGAAGAAGACACCACCATGGACAATGGACAATATTTTTTTTCCTAGAAATAAGACCAAAACACAAAAAAAAACATTTCAGCTACAGCACACAGTTCCAACCAGAGGGCATATTAATTCTAGCCTGGTGACAACCTTGCGCATGTTTAAGAGTCTTCCAGTCTGTAACCTTTATGGTTAGACAAGATAAACCTGCTTTGTTTGGTTCTCAAACTTTATAGGTCCATGTGTAAAAACAAAGGCCTACAACAATCATTGTCAGAGTTTAAATTACTTTTCAAAATGTCCAAATGAATAATTAACACACAGGCAAAAGAATGCAACAATTAAATTGGTGTGCGAGGCATTTTAGTTGGTTATTTGTAGTCTTACTTAAACGGGTTTTAAGGTCTATCCTCTTCTCTAGTGCAGACTTGCGGCAACTATTTTTTTTTTTACAAATATTTTAGAAATTATGGACACAAATCCTGAAAGTGTTTAGTATACTTGTGACTTACAGTATCCTTTAGTGACTGATAAATGATATTATCCTTTCCTTTTCTTGTTGGGACACTGGACAGTCAAACACATACCGTTCTGTTTTCAGTCGGTACACAGAGTGCGCATGCTCCACTTACGACCCGCCTAGCCGTTTGGTCAGGGAGCAGCTCAACATAAGGGTGAAATATATTTGCGTGATTAACAGAAAAGCAATTAACGGAAAGGTGAAAACACTGCATCAGAGCCATATACAGTTTAGCATACTGGTTCAGACCGGTGGACTGACCGCATGGTGGTACCTGTAGTGAATGTGAGCAATTTGGCACGCTGCCTATGTCGGAATCGGGATGTAGACGCAGACACGTGCAGCCCCATTCACACATTAGATTTCGACCCCTAACAAAACGATATGATTAAGACTAACGATAATATTGAAGAGTATATGTTGTATTTGTACAATATAGCGTCACCAGTCTATTGGACCAACGCGCCATGCGTCGTACCACAAGCTGCAGGAACTTAACAGGCTTTTTGACATTGTGTACTTACCAGGCCCGCTCCACCTCCACAAATTGACTAGCACAGTGGCTATACAAGACTGAAATCTAGAGTAAAATTACACTGGCAGCGTTTTACACTAAAACGTACTTACCAACAAAATAGGGCACCGCGAAGGAGAATGTTGTGCCGTCTCGTTTCCACGCCTTTATCTTCTGTCTGGATTTTCCCAGAACCGCTCTCTGTGGGTTGCGTCGAAAATGTCTCAGATTCCAGCAGTGTCTCACCACGTCCTTCCCACCACGCGATGGTCTGTACTCGATTCGGTCGGTTTACGCGACCATATTGTCGTGAATGTCGCCGCCTGCTGCTGCACTCATCCGGGCGCTCGGCGATTGAGCCGTGGTCTGGACGCAGCTCTGGATGACAGCTTCAGGATGAGGGAGGGGGATGAGGAGGAGGGGGAGAGGAGTGTGGTCAGTGTTGAGCACATCGGCACCACATAGAATAGGAAAAACATTAAAAAAAAATACCCCCAAAAATATGCCCACTAGATTTATACCCTATTCTCTTACTATAAATAGCCCTATTCAAGCGTGTTACTTTATTTTATTGGCTTAGAGTGACCAATAACGTAAGTTTGGAAATAAAAAAGTTTATTGGCCTATTTTTTTATTTTTTAAAAATAAGAAATTAAGCAGTGTCAACTATTGGTGTTCTTTGGAGCCATATGGCTCCTTTGAATAAAACAGTTCAACAACGTTTAGTTATTTACGACAAACCTACATGCTAAATAGCCCGACACGCTCAGTCAGTTAAAAAAATACTGCCTATTAAAAAGCTATAACTACATAGGCTATGTGAAGCCTACAGGCTCCAGATCTTTCGTGCGCCACTGTTTGCATCCATTGCTGGATTTCTCTTGAGCCATGTGAAGGAATTTGTTTGTATGCAAAGTAGCGCGCGGCTGAGCGTACATTTAAGTAATTTCGCTTTATTTGACCGACATGGCCCAAGTCTGCAAGGACATGTGACAAATGACCCGTGAAGTGGACATCAGACTCTAAAACGTACACATTTTTACCATGTAGAACTGTAGCCACGTGCGCAAAGCATAAACGTGTTACGTAACCAGCAAACGCAGTCAACAGGAGGAGGTGGGGAGGAAGGAGAGAAGCGCCCACAAGCAGGTAGGCAACTAATTAAACAAATCTGAGAAGATAATAAAATTACATTATAAAACAGACCTATTAGAAAATATATTTATTTAGTCTATATTATGACAGGATGGGAAGTGGCGTTTTCGTTAGGTCCGGCTGGCCACATTCTGTGAGTTAGGCCTATATCCTCTTCTTCTTCATCCTCTCAGTCTGCAAATGATGTTCATATTCTATATTATACCACTGGAATAAGAAACATTGTGTAGCTTTGTGTTCAACAGTGTGTCCTCTTGTTTAGACTTGACAAGAGGCAGTTGTTGGGTGGAACCATGTTTATCCACAGACTTCTTTGAACTATTTTAAATAGGCCAACAACCACATATTTGTCCACGCTCTAGGGGGCGTTCGCACACTTGTCCTGGTTTGGTGTTAGGTTGAGCCCATATTAGTCCAGACGTAGACCTGTTTTAGTCCTGCTTTAGTCCTGGTCAAGTCCAGATTTATTGTTTGAGTTCAGGTCGAGTAGTCCCAATGTTGTGGTGTGTGCAAGTGTGAATAATTCACCCAAATAGCCCGTTTTACACATGGCATTAGAATCATGTTTATGATTCATGTTATTTTCTTTTTCTTCTCAACTTCTCAAACACTAAACAGTAACCATCTCTGGCCTTAGCTGTACAGTCTGCTGCCTAACAGATCTGCAACAAATATCGCAGCTTCATCACAGTTTCAGGAAATTGATCTGGTTCCTGCAGCCTTTCTTGGGTTTCCTATTTTGCGTTTAGTTGACATCTTACTTAATTGCACCAAGAACCTCCAGCACAAGACAATAAGGCAATGGTAAGACAGGTGGAGTTGTAGCGACTGGAGACCGTTTTTCAGCCTGATCTCTCCCAAGACAAACAGTCACAGTTGCACAACATGGGGTGGGTTGGCCATTATTTAGATCTCCTTAATCAAGTACATGATTCTTTGTGCTGTCTTTGTGCGTTTATGTGCATGTCAGGTTCAGACAAGTCTAATGGGTGCGGTGTTTACCAATTTTTTTTTTAAATTCGCCGTATTTTAAACTAAAGTTTACTCAGAATCATGCTCAGTCCTTGTGCTGCATTGGATGCTATTGAACAGCAAGTCATATTTTTACAGTTCAACCATTTAAATCTTAAATGAATTATCAGTTTAACTCACATTGCTATAAGCAACAAAAAAGCAAGTAGCAAGTTGTTTTGGAACATAAAAGTTTTTACAGACGAAACTATGCCTTTTTTTTTACTCTGCGTACACAGTGTTGTTTTATTATCTTTATGCCTTTTGTTTCTTAACTCTTCAAATATTCATTTTAGATTCGTTAGATATAAGTGCACATGTTAGTTATTATTCTAGTTATGAATTAAATTTTTGATTAAGTTATTTCTTTTCTCTTACTGTTCTTGACACTGGAATTTCCCCATTGTGGAACAAATAAAGGTTTTATCTTATTTTAAAATAAATTAATATTGTAGCAAATGCATGTACAACCTAGCTTTCCCTGTGTAATGATGGTCTTGATCTGGGCTCACTCTTTTAAGTTAAGTAGCCTCTTCAAATGTGACACAATGTCAAAACAATATGGCTTCTGTGGTCATTGTCATTTCAGAACAATAGTTCTATCCATTTTGTCTGTGAAGTCACCCGTGTCCATTGACAGTTTAATCAGGTAATAAGCACATTAATAATACAATCGGGTGGTGCCACCTTGTGGCAACAATTAGCAGCGCTTCACTGAGCGGTGTGTCGTGTCTCACACAGTTATTGTCTGCTTTAGGCTACAGCTTGGCTGCATGACCTGCATTTTACTCTATTTCATAATAACGTGTCCTACTAGGCCCGGAGACAGACTGAAGCAGAGGGCGTCTGTCAGTTCTCTTCCTGATGGCCTCCGTCCCCTCATAATGCACGTGCGCGTACGTACTCAAAAGCGCGTGCACCTTCTCTCAAACATGGCGGTCTCTGTAACACCGCTTCGCTCCTCCTTCCGAATGTGTAGCCCGTTGTATTTACACCATCACCGCTGCCGGGCCAATCTGCGGATACAGAGAAAGTGTGAATGCCAGTGGAGACGCGTGCACCAAGCTGCGACAAGGTAACAGCGTAGCAAAAGGCACTTTATACCTCGTTATACTTTTCTGAGCTTAGCTGCTGTCAGCCCGGTGAATCCGTGCGTAACGTCACGTGTTTATAGGATGATGATGGTTGATTGACAGCAGCGCTCCCTCCACATCCGAAGAGGCGTGTGTTCCTCTACCCCTCTGTTTTGGGATTTTCACCCATCCACGCGCTGCTTAAATCATGTTAGCCTTTAATCACTTTATACAATGGGCTACATCAGCAAACATTAAACTGGACAATATTCTGTGCTGCATTATGCTGCAGCAATGCACTGAAGCTGTATAGGCACACACATCGTCCTTTTTTTTATCATCCAGTGATTGCAATTTTGCATTCACATTTGCTTGTTGCTTGTTACTGTGAATTGTTTTAAAATATATTTTTTTTTTATTTTATAGACATGAAGCAGTGGTGTTTTCTGGGACAGTGTTGGCTCGACAAATCCACAGAGAAATACAACGGGATGTGGAGGAGATGGTCGCTCAGGGTAACATGAGACCCCACTTAGCTGTGGTCATAGTAGGAGATGATCCAGCCAGTCACACCTATGTCCGAAATAAAACCCGGGCTGCCAATATTCTTGGTCAGACAATATTAAGATAACATGTTATACTAAATGCCAAGGATAAGCAAATTCATAAAGATTTTGTCAGCAGGGATTTCAAGTGACACAGTTGTCCGGCCAAGCTCTGTCTCTCAAGAGGAACTGCTGGAGCTGATTGACAAAATGAACCGAGACTGGAGAGTTAGCGGTCTCTTGGTACAATTGCCTCTTCCTGGTAAACACATTTGCACCTTTATGTTGTTATAAAATATGTTAGTAGCTTGTAGACGAGAGATATGCTGTATGCTCAATAAGCATTGCGTAATAATGTAACATTAGTGTATGGTAACTGTGTTATATGTGTTATATGTTGTGTCTGGGGGGTTGGTGAAAAAGTTCTCTAAAACAGGTTCCCATAAAATGTCTTCTGGTGGGTCTGTAGAACGTGTTGGGAGTTGTCATCACTGATCTCGGTAAAAGGCTACAAAAGCTTGAGTTATTGATCCAAAATGTTTTCGTTTTTTCTTTATAAAATTTATAACGAAATAACAGAGGCTGTGGTTACAAACTCACCAAAGTCTGATTTATACCTTATTTCTAGACCTTCAAAATTACTTAAAGAACATGCAAACTTCACAGATTGTTGTGTGTATTCAAATCAGAGTAATCAAATTTGGCTTTTACATTTTATTTTAATATTTTTGTAAATGTCAGACCTGGTTGCTATTAGTATAAATAGTAATAGTAATAGTACTATAACTATTAGTAAGTTTTTACTGCCTTAATTTGCAAGAGTCCAGAATCCGTGTTTTAACTATTGCCCTGAGTGCAGCATCCTACCATACTGTTAAAGACTATATGATTTGTGCTTCAATATTTAAGCCTTAACTCTTAGCCTTCCTGTTTTAGTTAACGTGTCTTTTTTCTTTGCAGAGCACATCAATGAGCGAGCTGTGTGTAATGCCATTGCTCCAGAGAAAGACGTGGATGGCTTCCATATTGTCAACATTGGGAAGTTGTGCCTGGACCAGAGATCCATGATCCCTGCCACACCTGCAGCTGTGTGGGAGATTATCAAGAGAGCAGGTTGGAAAACTTCATACATATATTTATGTGTTATGTTACCATGTATGTTGGTTCATTTTTTGTTATAAAAAAGTTTTACCGTTATAGTTAAGAATTTATCGTCTTGCTAGTGTAATATGCATATTTCTCCAGTAGAGGGTGTTAAGTAAATGGAAGGTATCAGGCCATGCAATGGAGAGCTCCACATCTGCTGTACTGTGACCTGTCAGTTCCCATATTCAGAGTCAATGATTTAATTCTAAGGGTAATTACAGGCCTTCAAAATCATTTAGGTTGAAAGCTTCATGGCCTTAAGGTTGTATTTCTTTATTTTTGTTCAATAAACCATTTTAATTGAACATTTTGCTAACCAATTTATTAATGCATTTACTTATTTTAACATATTTTAGACCATGTATTTACATTCTTTATATGAAACAGAATCATTATATTATTCAGTATAATAACATTATAATTATTATTATAACAAAACTGCTACTATTATAACTAACAGTATGACTTTATTTTCATTTTTATTACTAACAATTGAATACTGTCTGAATTTTGTCATCCATAGCTCGTCCCAGTGGTATCATTTCCTATGATAGGGTACATGTGATAGGGTTAAAACATTCTTGATCTTTTTCTCAGGAATTGAAACAGTGGGCAAGAATGTGCTGGTTGCTGGCCGCTCGAAGAATGTTGGAATGCCCATTGCAATGTTATTGCACACAGACCGTTACCATGAGCGCCCGGGGGGTGAGAGTGTCTTAATCTTTTGATACATTTACAGGTAACTTGATGCTGAGTATTGCGTGAAAGTCTTTGTGGAAAATGGATATTGCATCATCAGGACTTTCCCTGTCAGATTTCTTAAGCTTAATGCTTAAAAAAATAAAATACATCTCACCATCTCATTTTACAATAAATCCTGATGGAATTGTACCAAAAGAAAAGCAAAGACACACACAGTGTTGTAGGAAATGGGATAATGCCCAAATAAGGGGATAGGAAGAAGGAGGGTCTTTGGAAGAACTATGCAGCTTGATGAAGCAATGCTTGTGTCCATCACTCAACAGTAAGCCATAATTTAAACTAGCCAGTAAAATGTGACATAAAGTGTCTTTTAAATGGTGGATGCTATACTTTTACACTATACACTATACTTAAACTAAAAAACACTTTAAACGTATATTTGTTGTGACCATAGACTGTATAAAAGAAGTGGACTAAGCGGGTTTGACGTCACCTGTAGCGTTCAGTGCTGCTCAAATGAGGCTCGTAATGCTAACGGTTAAAGGAGCGAATCTGGAGCCAGACTCTATGTTATGAATAGACTTTTGATGGACAAAAGAGTGAAAAAATCAAGATCATGTAGAGCAGGTTAATAAGAACATTTTAAGATCAAAATGACGACGCTCACTGCAGCAGTTACAGAGAGAGGCGATAAGATCCTAATGTAAGTCAGAAGGAGTCGGAAGACCCTCCTGGTCAACTTTCTATTTGGCACGTGGCGGCTAGGGCATTAGCTATGTCCACTCGTATATACAGTCTATGGTTGTGACGTTCTGGTGCACTGGGACCCCTTTTTGTTTTCCTTTTTCTTTTATTATGAAAAAATATATTATTAATCATGTCAGATAGACATAGTATTATGGTCATCAAAATTAGCTCTAAACACTAGGACAAAACCCTGAATTAACCCTGAACTAGGACCAGACAAGCTCTAGAGCAGGACCAAAACCTGTGTCAGGCCTTAAACTGTGCTAAAACCAGGACCAGACTCATACAGATGTTTAATGAAAGGACTTGCCTTTAGGTGATGCCACCGTGACCATCACTCACCGGTGTACTCCGAGGGAACACCTGAAGGAGCTGGCTAACCTGGCTGACATCATCATCGCAGCTGCAGGTAATGACAGAGTCACAGCCCTTTTAAAACGCTGTGTCATTTTGGTCTTGTTTATCTTCAAACCTAAAACTCACAACTTTCAGGAAAATAAAATCTTTGCTTTAGGTAGAATAGAATGTTTTTTCCTGTGGTGCTCATAATTATAAATTACATTTAACCTGGTCAATGATTATGAATAATTGTTAAATTCTGACATTTCTTCTCATAATTGTAACATTAAAATTTGATATTGTAACATGTTTGTGTGCAGGTGTCCCAGGGCTGATAACTGCTGATATGATAAAGGAAGGAGCTGCAGTCATTGATGTGGGAATCAACCGCATTCACGACCCCAAGACAGGAAAACTCAGACTCATAGGAGATGTAGACTTTCAGGGTATGTGAACAACCCCCATGATTTCTTGTTTATTTATTTTTTTTGTAATTATAGCTCCTGCAGTAGCAATAGAAGAAAAACTACTCTTTGTTTTGACTTGTTTCAGGAGTGAAGCAGAAAGCAGGTTTTATCACTCCTGTTCCTGGAGGCGTAGGTCCAATGACAGTCGCCATGCTGATGAAAAACACTGTCAAGGCAGCTAGGAATGCTCTGACGCACTAGGCACATAATACAACAACTTTATCAATGAATGAACACTCATGCTAAACTATATACAAACATACAAATACACAACCATTGTACAAACATTTATTTAATTACATGTACACATATTGATATTTCTTATTGCCTCAACTCATCTGCTGGAAAACGTACTTGATATTATTGTATATTATTTATTTATTTATTTATTTATTTCAGTTATTTATTCAAAGGTTACATTTTTACCAAATCAAATTAATATTTTTTCTACAGAAGTTGTTTTGTTCTGAGCATTCCAGATTCACTGGAAGTTATCAATGAAATAAATGCTGTGCCAACATTAATTTCATTTCCCCTTTACGTGTCTGTTACTATTAAGATTATTGTGCAAAATTCACTCTTGTGAGCTTTAAGCCATGTTATAATTCTGTTGTCTCCTCAAAAACATACCTGGAGTTGTGTTTGTTTCATTCTCCTATGTTTGAGTAACCCTTTATTAGGTAGTCTATCAACATCTCTATAACTCAGAATGCTCTGTTCCACCTTGTGATGTCATGAAGCGGTCATTTTCAAGTTGACATCTATGTCTTACCTTTAGTTTAGGAGAGATCAGCAATTCGCTGAAGCGCTGAAATAATCCAAATAATTGTACTGAAATTTAAAATCACAGTGAAGCACAAACAGATTTTTTCTGTTTGAGCCTAAATATGCGGGGTTTGTGTGTTTAAATGTGTAAAAGAAACAAAATACAACTCCAGGTATGTTTGTGATGATGAAACAAAATTATAACAAAGATCAGAAAATAGCGTAATATGGGCCCTGTAAAAATGTACTCTGTAACTTTTATGTTTGTTGACATTTGCAAGATGCTAGTTTCATGGAGGTGTTGATTTGCCTGTAATGTTCCACAGTATGACATTTGGCTTATATCTATCTTATTTTTTATGTAATTGAATTGCAACTTTTTTTTTACTATGACTGATCACCTCTAATTTGTTCTGCTGGCGTCATCTGCTGGCCTTATCTGCTTGTCTCTGTTGGGATGGATAAATTTAATGTCATATTGTGAAACATACCAGCATTTCCATGGCATACCTTTAGTTTGACAAGTCACTCAGTGACCCTCTTAACTAAACATCTTGTCATTCAAAGATCTTAAAACCATACTGAACAGATCTTTTAACAATGCGGTACTTACGTTTTTGGTTTTCTGAGGCAGTCACATTTCAGAAGCACAGGCCTGTCTGGACACGTTGGCTGTCAAGTGAAACTGGGAAAGGAAATGTGATTTAGGAGGAAGGAAAAGCTTTTATTCTCATAAATGGTGCTACTCACTGATTGGCCGATTTCCCATGCTTTATAAAAGATCTGTCAAAACCAGTTAAACTTCAGTCTCGCTAAGCTGTAGACGTCGGCTTCACTATGTTTAGTCAAAGAAACTCCAGAACGGGTAAGAGTGATTTTCACTTTTTTTTTGTAAACACTGAAATGTGGTTTACTTTTGTGGCATTATCAAGCAACTAATACTCATAATTTTGTCTTATTTTATCAGCTCTCCTTCCAGTGTTGGCGGTGCTCTTCCTTTTTTATACAATGGGACAAACTGCCGCATCTACAGACACCATCGACACTACACCATTTCCAGCAGTGACAAACTCATCCTTGAGCACACAACTCAACAACAGTAAGTTTCTGAGTTCCTAACATATCTTTCCGACAAAAATAAATTAATATATATAGCCTTGTATTTAGGGTGGTTCAAAAGTGTAGTATAATATATGTTTTGAGTACTCCCAAAGATTACAAACAGGTATAAAGTAATTCTGTATTTTTGGTGGTAATTTTACAGTTTTCACTTTCTGCGTGAAACCTGAAGTCAATCTTACACTTACAAATACATTTTAGTCTGTTTCTCATGCCTTACAAAAATATTATCATTATGAGAAACTAAAATATTGAAGCATTAATTTATTATTTCATATTTTTTCCCCACAGGTAGCGCTGTTAAGTCACATAGACCATGTGGTAGTGACAATGTGAACTTCTGTTTAAACGATGGCCAGTGCATTTACTACCAGGACAGAAACGAACCATCATGCCAGTATGATAAAATACTCTTATTCAACAATTACATCTTCTATGTTCTATGTCCTCATATGTAAATGACTCATGTATTTAACTCTTTACAGGTGCCAGTTTCCTTTTGGAGGTGAGCGCTGCGGGGAAAGCCTAACCCTTACCGTTAAAAGAAACAATTCTGAGCAGCTCATTGGAGTTATTGTTGGTGTTCTAATGGTGATCTTTGCTCTGGTCATCATTATTTCCTGCTGTTTACTTAAGAGGTAAATCTGGCCTCAATCATTACATTCATTGTCTGTCAGTTATGTATATAGGCCTTGGTTGACAGTTTTGGATGTGATATATTTACCAGTAATTCAATATTTTTTCCCTTACACTATTTATTTATTTTGCAGGTGTGTAAAGTCAGTCCCTCTAAAAACATCTTCACCAGAAACCCAAGTATGACTTCTGCTTCCTCCTTGGCTGCCATTATGATCATCATGGCCAAGCATTTTTATGCGTCATAGACCAACGGTTTTTGAGTCGACTTTTTGTCATGTTATTTATTGTATTTAGGTATTTATTGTGAATAATTAACTTATCTTTTGTAATAAGTATATAATAAAGTTTTTTACATTTTTAAAATATTCATGGGTTCCAGACTCTTGTTCACAGTAGAGATGCGCGGATTGCGGTTGCAACCGCGGTATCCGCGGTTAATCCGCGGGTCGGGCGGATGAGGTGACGAAAAATTATATTTTAATTAAATTCGGGCGGGTGGCGGTTTAACTACTAAAAAAAAAAAGTTGTTAGTATTGTTACCTACATCTGAAAAGACGACTGTCATTGTCTATGCTTGTACTATGAAGTGTACGTCATATCCTTAATTAGTCCATTTGACCTCGTTTTTTATGTTCTGAAGGTTCAGGTTGTGTCGGGTTATTGATGCCTAAGGTTTACGAGGCACATATTATATGCAGTTTATTTTATTATTTCTAATTTATTTCAGCTGTTTGCTAACACGTAAGTGGCTATAGGGCCATATTTATTTAGTTATACTTTTTTTTTTTTTTTTTTTTCGATATCAGGTATATTTTAAAACACGCAGACATTATAGCGTAGACTACCACTCGGGGTATTTAAAACTTAAAGAAAGACCGATGGAGTGAGGCTATGACTTTGAAATAACATCGGGTAATGGCAGAATGTTCAGAATGTAACAACATCCAACACGAAGGCAAGAAGGTTCAAAAATAGCCTAGTTGGAAAACGTTGTCAGTTAATTAGCTGCGCAAGAAAACCAGGTAAGTTTGGGGTTGTTACGGACAACTAAGAATGTGAACATACACGCTGAGCCAATTTTGGAATGAATGAGCTATAGAGTTTGCATTTTTATCGAGGCTCCTTAGTTTGTTTGCTGTATGATTGTTCTAAAATCTAAAATCAATCGGCGGATGGCGGGCGGGTGCAGTTTTGAAAACCTTCGGTGCAAAATGGACAGCGGGCGGATGATGAGTTTTGTGTCGCGGTTGCGGATGAAAAAATAGCCCATCCGCGCATCTCTAGTTCACAGGCAACAATTTTGAGGATACATGGCCATATAAAATATTTAATTTTTGTTTTGAAATGTTTATTGCTAGTATGGCAGCTATGGTTAATTTTCATCACCCTAAAACCCACGAATATGTCAATTTTTTTTACACATAATTTTACACCTAATTATAAAAATATTATTAAAACACAATGCAGTTTACAGTGTGGCTTTGTATAACATTTCAAGTGCCCATTTAATGGCACTCCTACTCAATCTCCTGCACTAAATCCCTGATTAAAGCAAAGATCTGTTCGTAATCGTAGTGCAGGTCACAGTAGTGGGTGACTGTGGAAAGCCTACAAGCCCCTGCTTGTCTCACTTCCGGTCCTCCGGGTCGTGCCTCTCCATGAGCACCCACCGTGACACCCACAAGGAGAGCATCCCATGAGTGTGTCACCACACCCACCACAAAGAAGAGTTGAGGTTTGCACATCCCGCCGCAGACAAAAGCGTGTCCTCAGCCTTGAGTCCGCTAATAGTTTTATTACAGTCTGAGTTGGTTTAGTTAAAGCGTCTGCCTGCGTCTTTTCAACTAGACTATGAGGAATAAGCAACTCTCCGTGCTCTTGTCATTCATCTGTAAGTTTGATTCTATTTGTTAAGGCTTCGCAAAATCAATATAGGCCTATATTGCTATATTTTTGAGGGACCAAACCGAGTAAACATTCTGTGTTTTTTGTTAAAATGCATACGCCTTTTAAAATCCATCTTGCCTATTAAGGACTGGAAAAGGCACATGCATTCGTGTGTGTTTGTGTAGCCATTTTTAACATGAAAAACTAGACCCAATATGACATTGTACACAACGACGCGTTAACATTATTAATTGATTTCATTTTTTATTTATGCACTTTTTACGTTGTGTAGAGAAAGTTGTTTATAATCATTCGGCTATGTGGTAGCTGAGTAGTAAATATTTAGAAGCATTTCCCCATAGCCCTGTAGAAGTACGCACATTTCGTTTACAGACTTGTGGATGAATCTGATCCGAGTGGAAGTTTTGTGGGTGTAAAAGACCACATACCTGTGTTAATGAGTCTGAGCTCATTCCAGACCCTCGGGGATGCAGGATGTTGGCTCTAACATCTGAAATGGAAGATCTCCACTCTACTGTTCATGAACTGAGATTTCACAATGCATTTTTCAGTCTTTTGTAAACTATTTGTAATAGAGGTGGGGGTATTATGCAAAATTATAGTAATGGTAACCCTAATAAAAATGATTAAGAATTTAAACAACAGAACATGCAGTGTCTTCCAAACAAGTGCACAAGATGATGTTCCTGCACTTTTGCTGTAGATTAAAAAAATTTTGTGCAAAAGTTGAACATCGACTAAGTGCCATTTTAGTAAAATATTAATAAATTGCTATAATATTGTCTGAATTTTGTCATTGGGACAATGTCCTAATATATTGACAATAGGATTTGGCCCTTCCTTTGTTGATAAACACATCAAGATGCACTTAATATTATGATAATTTATTATTATTTTGTGTCATATCTGGCTGAGTTCCCAGGGAACATGTTTGGATTCTGTTGTATTGGTGGGGTAATTCTGATGACATACTAAAGATGATTAACACTATGATTAACAGAATAACAGTTACTTGGTCATCACTCAGGTTTCAGGGTGCACTCTCATTCATCCATAAAGAGACCCACCCAACAACTCATCTGCTCCTCTGCTCCCACCAAAACACTAAAGGCAGATTCTGTAATAATCCTGATCATAACTCGATTTATGCCAGTCCTGACCAGCTCTCATTTGCCTGTGCTGGCTGCAGGAATGTGGGCGTCTGCAGAAATAGTGCCATTAAAAGACTTTGCAGGCTGGTACAAGCACAATGTCTTTTTAACTCTGCCGCTCCACTGCGCACTGTATTCCAGAGGGTACTCTTCAGTGCCCAAAACCCTCTATAGAGTGCAGATGAAATCTCCAGAGGGGGGTAGTAGCCAAAGTATTTACTCAAGTAGTGGCGCTGTTGCTTAATAATAATAATATTACTATGGCTGCATGGTTAATTACTGCCTAAAAGAAACCACAATTGCCTTAAGTGCGATGCAAAAACTGCAAACATAAAAATGTCTTAAAATGTCTTGTTCATACAACAAAATAAAACTGATGTTTCACAATCTGTGAAGGGTGGCTCATGACTCATGTCACATTTGCTGGTAATGATGTGTCTCTCTTCAACAGATGCTGTACTTCTCTGGCCTCCTACACAGACCAAAAACACCCCTCCCAGAGTATCCACAGGAGATGTCACCTATGCAGGTACCCAATTGCAAAAATCTTGTTTCATTGTATCTACTAATACAGATCTATGTCAGTGTCAGTAAGTCTGGAAGTTTGACTCCAGTGTCCTCGCCAGGTGATACCTTTGACCCAGAGCACGAGAGAGGGCGCCCTCATGTGGCGAAAAGATCCATACTGAGCTGCGACACTTCGTTTGATAACTACTGTCTTAATAATGGCCAGTGCATGTTTATAGTGGACTTAAATGAGAATCATTGCAAGTAAGCATTGTTTTATTTACATAGTAGTGTCTTGGTATGATTTGTTTGAGAGAGAGTTTCTTGCTGTTGCAGATGTGAGCTGGGTTACCTGGGCAGTCGCTGTGAGCAGCCACAGCTGGTCGTCAAGCCCATGAAGCAGGAAGAGCTGGCTCTGATCATTGTCTGTGTTGTTCTGGTGATTTTAGGCCTCGCTGGAGCCCTCTATTTCTTCTGCAAATGGTGAATAAGACTAGAATCATTACATTCATTATGAATGTTCCAATTTTTTACATTATAAGGAAGAGACCAGGTAAAACAACTCTTAAGAGACAGGCATTTTTTTGTCAATTAATGCACACACAAAAAAGAAAACTATGATTAGTGTTTATTTTCATGTTGAGGAAAATAGTTTACCTTGCCACTACATTTGACTAATGCAACCAGTACGGTTATACAGTATAGTATAGTTTGTGGGATTTCAATGTTGCACATTAATTTACATAATGTATTTTCAATGAGCATTTTTCAGTGTGCAAGAGACTATCCAAAGGACTAAACCCTGAGATGTTTCTGATACATCGAGTCAGACTCACGATAGATGTGGGATTTTCAGGAAAAAATGTCTTATATTTTACAGAATGTTGTCTTTTGGTACAGGTACAGAAGAAAGCAACTTCCTCAACAGCAGAAGCGACTGAGATACACTGCAGTGCAGATCGCTTAAACCTATGGGATACCACTTCAACCCTACACCCACCATTTCAATTAGTCTAACTTTAATGAATTACAACAGGATGTTTTAGTTTCTATCTACATTTTATTTATTGAGTCTTAATATAATATGACTTGCTGCAAAAATGAATGTATTATAATTTATTACATTTTTATTCACATTCACAAAAATGTGCAAAGTGTCAAAGACGTGTGTAATTTTTGGATTCTTTTCAGTTTGTTTTGATGTTCTTGATCGTTGGCAAGGTTACAGTTTTGGCTGCTTGAGATTGTACTACTAAAATTCAAGAATTTTACAAAATGTGACTAATAAATGAAAAATATGTATCACTTATGTGTAATTTGAACAATCGGCGCATTAAATAATGCCACATGCAACAAATAAGATTCTTAAACCTTTTTGTTTATGAGCAAACAAATTATGCTAATTTGTTTCAGTTTCCATAAATACATTTAGTTATTCTCAAACTAATGGTAGGCATCTTGCCTGTGCATTTCTAAAAGCCTCTAGTTAGATTCAGTGAGGTTTTTTATCATGCCATTAAAGTCTCTTTATGTGTTCTGTATGTTAATAATGCCGGAGACAAAATTAAATATTAACCCAAATCCTATTTCAAGCACACTTCAATAGACATTATCAGGCACCATGAACTTGAACAAAACCAAATGCTGGAAATTTGACATTAATGAGTCTAGAGGCACTGATTTGTCTTTTTCATTGCCATATATAGTTACATACATTTAGGTCAGTTTCCCTCTGGGTATTATGTAGTAACATATGTGGAGTAACTATGTTTTGTTTGTCTGAGATGTATCAAGAAACAACCTGAACATGGAATTAAAGCAAACTAAATAATTCTCACTTTAAGGGAAACATGAAAAGACATTTATATTAAAACTGTGTTGAAAATCCAATTGGTTATTTGGGAAATTCTGGTGGCTGCAATAATAAATACCCACAATGTGTAACAAATGTTTTCTAAAATGACCACTTCGTACAATATTCATACAGAAACAGTGACTATCAGAAGGCTGAAGTCGTCCTGGTTGTTTGCACAGTACATATGTGTGTCATTATAAGTCTTATTTGATCTATAGCATCACCTGTAGGCTACAAGTATAAGTAAGTTTTACTTTTTCTATTGTGTTAAGTCCATGCTTCAAGCCTATTATAGTCTGTAGTTGTCTCACAAAAACAACCTCCAACCAATGTCTGGAGTTCCGTGCATACCAGGTCCACGGGGAGGGGATAGCCTCTGCTCACAGACACAACAAGTGCAGAATGAAAACAAATGTGCAGCATCCACGCCCAAGCCTCAAGGTCTTTGCTAATTTATATGGACGAAAATAGAAACAGAAGATGTCCTTACAAAGCACTTACTGATTAATCAGCCTGAGGTCATTGTAACTATAAACTAATCTCATATTTCCTGGATGCATGGATGTAGTGAATGCATGGTTTGGACCTTATTGGGATATGTGAGTGGCCTGCCATTACAAATCTGAGTTTTTAGTTTAAACTTCATAATCCCAATATGTCCATCAAATCATTGTGATTTTTTAAATCAAAAATGATTTATTTTTATTTTATTTTATATATTTTGAAACAATGGATCTTCCTGATTATACCAGTGAAGCTTGCTTATGCAACTGTAAATTGTGTAACTGTGGCCTTTTTTCTGGACATACAGGGGAAGCATGAGGAAGCATGAATATTAGAGAGTGACCACTGCGGTGACCTGAGAACAGACCCATTATTCTTGGACAGAAGTCACGAGTCACAAAACATCGGATGTTAAGTGCATTGCCTGGGGCCGTTCATACACTCACCTTTGCTTGTGGTCACTTTTGGAGGCTCATTAAGCTCCTCATACATGCACACACGCACTCACAGCCCCCTCATGCATACTGTGCCAACATGCAGACACACACCCTCACTAAGCAGAGGCAGGCGCTGGCTATAAAAGCTGCTCCCAGTGGAAGGTGTGAAGCACAATCAGACCAGTCCAGCTGAGCACACAGACACAGAGACACACAGAGACACATAGAGACACATAGAGACACATACACACACACACGACTCCTCTGCACTGGGATATGAACACTCTCGTCTTAACCTGCCTCCTGTCCTGTGGTGAGTACAGACCTGTATTTGGACAGCTTTTGAATCAGTGAACTGCAGCACAGGGGAAACAGGAGATAGTGCAAGACGAGGCTTGTCACATTCAGCTATTTCTCGGCGAAGAATTTTTGTCTCAAGAATTTAGCCTCTGGCTATAAAAAATATCAGATAAGTCAGAAAAAGTCAATGTTGTCAATATGTTTTAATGTATGTATTTATTGTTGCATATTTAACATTTTTATATTTTTATGTTATCCGTTATGTTAGGTTTACCATAATACTAAGTATTAGTTAATATGTCAGCCTACTTTATTATTATTTGTATTAAATAAATGTCAGAAGAACAGGGGTTGAAACAGTTGAAATTACATTTTAAAAGTGAGACTCTAAGTGAACTTTGACCTCTGTCCCCTGCTTGTTTCTTACATTTACCTGTTACCTTCATGTTTGATGTGTGCAGTAGTGAGCAGCGCTCTGGGTGTGTGGGGTTCAGAGGTGACCTTCTCCACAGAGCTGAGTGGAGTGACGGGGGGTCCAGCGTCGGGAGAGGGCCTCCACAGTCTGAATGACGATGAAGAGCTGGAGCTGGTGGAAGTAGAGGAAGAGCCCTCAGGAGCAGCACACCTACCACCTCATGGTACTGGGATACCCAAATATTCCATCTCAACTCAATTTATTTTACATTATGGTATCGTGATTTTGTAATTTTCACCAAAAAAACGACCTGAAGCTTTACACCATGATTGTGAGTGTGAGTTCTATACCACCATTTTAGAGGTGACCAAAACATTTTTAATTATATGGCTATTAGGACTTGATTTGTGTTATACTACTCAAGCATCAGAATGAGAAACATGTGCTTGTGCCAAATACATAATGATAGTAATGAATTTTCAGTCTTCTAACATCCCCCTTCTGTTTTTCTACAGTGTTGAATGTTCTTCAAAATGAGCGAAAGAAGAAGAAGGGAAAGGGCAAGAGGAAGAACCATCACAGAGGTAAAAGCACCACAGTCCTAAACCCAGAGCACATGTACCACACGAGCGGGTACACTTCAGCCATCATCACCACAGAGGACCCCTGTACCTCCACACACCAAGACTACTGCATCCACGGACACTGCCACTACCTGGAGGGTCTGCACGAGCCTGTCTGCATGTGAGTACAACACCTTACTCTATACTGTTATGATAAATACTCAAACTGTACACAGGAAAAAGGATAGAAAGAAACAGTTGGTCCTTTGTAAAATCATGTTTTCCAAAACTAGCTATGAAAATATGGCATTTTTTTTCCCATTTCTCACCTACATTAAAATGTTTTGAAGATGTTTATAATATGCCACAAAGCTGCAAACCAGTGCGCTCTTTGGGACAAATAAAGTTACTGATTGATTGTTTGAGGATTGGGTCTGGCTCAAATAGTACACTTGCTCTTAGTTGTACCTCATGTCACAATTCGCATACAGGGATTGCAAACACATTACTAATAACTGTGTGTGATCATTGTGTCCGTAGTTGTTGAATATTTTGCCTCTTGCTGCAGCTGTATGAAAGGCTATATGGGGCTGCGCTGTGGGATCCAGACCTTGGAGACTAAAGTGCCTTCAGAAGACGAGGACAGTGGTCCGGAACTGGTCCAGACTGTGCTGGTGGTCATCGCTGTGGTTTTGTCCATCATCAGCTGCGCCGCCATCATCCTTATGACCTGTGCCCAGTGAGTATACTCTATTGCTGTGCTTCAGTTTAAATCATATTTTATAGTCCAATAGTTATTTAATACTTTTGGGGACAGTTAAAATTCATATTGTTGAATGCAGAATTGTGTTATAATACAGCTATGTATGGAGTTTAATCACTAAAGGAAAGGATCAGGTTCATTTCTGTCATTTTGGATATTTCATGGCATAGTGCAATGTTCTCAATAGGGAAAACAGGTTCTTGACTTCCATCTGGGAGTATGACATCCTCACATTTTAGAAACTGAAAACCACCAGTCGCTAATCATAATGTTTTAGTTGTAAAGGTTCATATGCAGTTCAGAAGTTACATTAAGTTATTACACTAAACTTTAACTGGCCATAAACACATTATAACCTCTCTTTATCTGGCTCAGTTACACATCAAAGGCAGACACACAAACACACCCAAACACACCTTTTCTACGCAAGAACTGCTCACTCACGTCACCTTCTACAATGAATTTACTAGACCATTATACTGAACTGTAATGATGTTTTAATTGTATGTATGTCTAAAATTAATGCAAATACAACTCTGGGGCACACTCACTCAGAGATAGCTGTTGCCATGTCATCCTTTTTATCAGTGTGTGACTAAAGCATAACTCACAGTATCTGTAATCAGGGTCAATAATTCACAAAGTCAATAGTTCAGAGAAATGCAACATAATCATCTGTAACTGGTTTTATTTTTTACTGTTCAGGTTACAACAAAATGAATCTTAACTTATTATTCATTCTAGGAAATACTGACCCATATAAGTATAAACCTACAGAAGGTCAAACAACAGAAAAAATTCTTTCACCTGAAGTCAAAGCCATGAAACTGACACTGTCTTGGGAGCCTCACATGGGAAAATCCAGTTTGAAAGGATGACCTGATGGTAAAGATTAAGCTTTTGTTTCTTTTCTTTGTAGTTACAGATCTCATAAAAATTTCCTGGCGTCATATCTTGGAAGTGGGGGAACAGCAAAAGAACAAGAGAAACTCCAGAAAACCCAGAGTGATGCGGTGGTGTGAAGTGCCAAGTTGTTGCCAGGTATGAAACTAGTTCTTCATCATTTTGACCTATTCACCCACGTTTACATAAATACAGCACCAACTTTTATTTTTAATTTGTGGACTTCTACTTTCTGATATGTTCAGAGTTCAATAGTTCAGTGTAGGTGAAATGTTATGTAAATTTCAGAATACTAAAGTGAGATCTCTGACTTTTATGAAAGACTAACAATATCAAAAACTACAAGTGTTAAACATTTTAGAGAAAAACATGGACATGCATAAAACTTGAAGATGTCATTTTTCAGCCCGTTTTCATGTTTATTGAACCTATCTATGTTCATGGAGACAAGCAGTTACATGTCAGATCTGTGGAGAGAGGCAATCCTGCTCAGAGTATTTAGAGGTATATTGGGCAACCAAGGTAATAATAAATGCCATACTGCGGCACATTCCAGGCAACGCAATAACATGCTTTCACATACACTCCATGGAGACAAGCAGAATCAACATCACATTTAATTCATTGGACAAGTGTGATGTACTTATTACTGGAGCAAATGTGTCAAAAGAAACTTAATTATAAAAAAAGCATGATAACTATCAATGTGTTATAGTTTTAAATGATCAGCTGCAAAGTGATGTCACTAAATAATTAAATTCATCATGTTCCTTGGATCTTAAATAGGTCATAACCAAGATTTTGCCAATGGCATATTACGCCTACGTGTTTTTTTCTAATATTACGCAATCTTACTCTCAATATCAAACACGTGTAATTTCTAAACAGTAGACTATTTCCTTAAAGGGATGCTGTAACCTGGGCATTGTAGGGATGATGTAATGACCACTATTCCAATTCCAATTAAGGACATCATCCGGACCTGACTCGCATGAGCCTTAATCCAAAGAGGAAAGAGTTAGGTTCCTGTTGTTATTGTGTTGCTTGTTGAGTAAGGACAATTGCATCATGTCACTTGGAGTCCTCAAAAGTGTGGACTCGGTTGCATACCAGCGTAAAGAATAACCTGTCATTCATAAATAGCACCACGACTGTTGGTTTGTGGATCGATTTTAATCACGGTACTTACATGTGGTCAGCTCTGATACACACTCACTCACACGCAGCCTCTGCCGTGAGCGAAAACACTTGAGCGTTACTATAATATTAGTTTAATATTATGTGCCTGCCTGTAGTTCACAACATATTTTGATGCAATCATACCCAGTTTTTATATTTATTTATTTTTAATTTACACTGTGCTTATATTCTATGAAAAAAAAAATGCCTATAGTCTATAGCTAGACTCTGCAACATTTAGGGTAAAATGACTGGGCTAGCCACAGATCTAACCTGTAACTTACTCTGGTGGCGTCACCTGCTTATCTGCATTAGTTAGATAAATTGCATGAGTCAGATAAATTAAATGCCATACTGTAAATATTCCAGGCAAAGCAAAAACATCTCCATGGAGACAAACAGGTGGCTGAATCCAACACATAGTGCACCTTTAAGGGTTCAGAAAATATCAGGAAAAAAAAATATTTATTTAAAAATAAGTCAACTAGTTTTAGAATTTGTAATGATTGAAGACAAATTATAAAACACTAACTGTTCAATACTAATACTACAATTCTAAAACTAGCAAGCTCACAATGAAACATCATAATGTATAATACCATCATTCATCTTCCTTTCTATTGTATGTTTATTTCCAGAGAGTTACACCTTGAGAAGACCGAGCAGCCCAGCAGATCCTGAGGATGTGTGATGACTGTAGAGATGGCTGCTTTTGTAGATGCTGTTAAAGAATGATCTGAAGTCTTTATTAGAATGTAATTTATTGTAGTGTGGTTATTTATTGCTAAAATGCCATTGAACTGTATGTACTGTATGTGGATGCTGAGCGTTCACTTTTCTAGAAGTTTATAGCTTTTTTATTTATTGCACTGCTGTTGTTATAGGTCAGACAAACCCTTTTCATCCAAGTTTGGAAAAGGGATGGACAATGATCACCAATAAAATATGTCAGTGTTATATTGAAAATGTGTTGCTTCATAATTAGAATTTTATTTAAATTCCCATCTATATGAAAACTCTGGTGATGACTATGGGATGACATAGATTCCTTAATTTACATCCAAACCTGACCATTTGGTAATGACTCTGCCATAATCCTAATTTTAATAACCCGGTGTAGCCAGTATAAAAGCACTGTGTGTTCAGTCACAAAAGGCTCCGTGGCTGGTATATGCCCTGTGTGAATTGAAATTATTATTTGCACAAGGCAACAATAAAAATGTTTCCACTGAACTCTCCCAGGACTGCGTCTGAATGAAACGGGTGTGCCTTCTTGGAACTATTTGGAAACGTCAAAGTTATTTAAAATTAAATGTATTTTTGTGCTGCCCAAAATCACAATAAATGTCACCTTGGAGGGCTCAACAAAAGCGCTTTATCTTTAACCATCATGACATCAGAAAAACTGTGAAATAGCCATTAGTCAATATCAAATAAGAAGGTTAACCAACATTTACAGGAACCAGGCAAAACTTCCTCAGACTATTACTCCACACAATCATGGTATAACCAATAGTCATGGTGCTGTGGTACAGTGGTTCATGAGCTCCTTCAGATGGTATTCAGATTCCTCTAAAGTTCAGATATTTGCAAAATATATTTGTCATTTGGACCTACATTTCTGTCCTCCTTTAGGTTGGTCCTTATTTAGAACTAGAATAGCAAGTAGTCTCATTGTAGATCTGGTTTGGCTCGAGGTTAAACCAAGAATAACACAGGTACTCGAAATAAAAATATTTTCTTATGTGATGCTTTGTGTGAAATGTTTGAGAACAACAGACCTATACAAATGCAGGTGTCCGTGTGCTAAAGTTAGTCTATAAATCACGCTGATCTGTAAATAATGAAATTAATAATAGTAAAACCCAAGCAAAATATAGTGCTTCTGGCTCTCAGCTTTTATTTAAGTAATATTGTTTCTGTAAAACTGAGTATTTTCAGGAGAAATCAAAGCTCCTGATTTAATACAAAATCAAGATGATTTTCTGATCCAGTCTTCAGACCTATATCAGAATAATAAATAAGAGCAAAATGGTAAGTACGTTGGGCCTGGAAAAAAAAAAAAGATCTCTTGAAGAAAACATAATTTAATCCATTTGTGAAGCCCGATGAGATTTTAGAAAACAGACAGAGGTTTATTCTTGTTACAGCAGATATGGACAGGGCCTAGACCTACCCTGGCCCCTAGTCTATGTCCCCCAGAGTATTTGAGCTCTTAGTATTTATACAGAAATACAAGTTACATACATATCAACGCAGAGTGACACTTGCTGGTGCTAATCAAATTAAAATACATATGAGGTCAGGTAAGACAACACACAGTTTCCTGTGGGGTGTGGAGACAGTTGTGTCTTCTGAGCTTTTACACATGTTAATGACTGGTCTGGGCCTCGGGTAGAAATCACATTACTTTACACAAAGACAGATTGAGTGAAATCTTTCTACAATATAAATTTCCATCAGAGGCCAATAAAAGTGAATCTTGACAACAAATAGGTTGACACACAATTCATATTTGTAAATGCAAACATACTGCCCAGGTTGGTTGTTACTTCCTGTGTGTGTTGACAATATATAAGAGCCCTCTACAGGCAGCAGTGGTTATGACTCACATATTTTCTCCTTTTGAAGTTTGAATGATAGCATGCTAAATTGTTATCCTTTTTAGTTAATAAACCTCCCTACAAATTCCTTTGTTGGTTTGGACTGCATTATACTTTCCTACTTCTCTAAAAGTTTTCATATTCACAATCAACAGGTTTCCACTTTAAAGTTTTCCTATTACACTATTTTCTGATCTATGTATAATGTTGTTTCATCATTAGAAGTTTTGTTTTGTTTCTTTCACACATGCTTTGACTGAGTTCTTCTCTCAAAAAGGAAACACACGGTTCCACCTTGTGATGTCATGTTGTTAAAAAATGCTCTACTGTGTTTTGAAACTCCATATACCTTCATTAGAATAACTTTAATCATTTCAGATCTGAAATTGCCAATCTCTACTGAGGTAAAGAGAAAGAGTAGCTGCTAACTTGAAATGTATCACTTCATGTCATCATAAGGTGAAACAGAGCATTTTGAGCTTTGGAGATGGAGACAGACTAATAATAAGAGGTTACTCAAACATGGGTGAATAGAACAAACCACAACTCCAGGTCTGTTTTTGATGAGGTAACAACATTATAAAATGTCTTCAAGCTCACAAGAGTCTATGTTGCGTAATATAGGACCTTTAATAGTAATGGGACAAGGCTATCTCAGACCATTTTCACACTGACCCTACCTGTGAGAAGTAGGATTTTGGTGATATTTAATATGAATCCTATGATTCAAGTCAAAGTCAAAGTGAATAGCTTTCTCTCTCATGCAGTTTTGTGTTGTGTAGCTGTTGCATCACAACCAGAAAAGGTGTGCTCAAGTGGGCAACAGCGTAAGAGATGTTATTGCATTAAAAAAAATTCTCCATGGGCATGAGCTGTAAACTGTCATGTTAATGACCTTCATTTCCTGTATAAGAAATGTGGGTGTGGTGTCTTTTATACTATCACTGAATCAAGGTGGGCCCAAGGTGTGGCCATGGAGACACGGTAAATACTGCTGGTGTGGGTATAGTTGGTCAGTCCCACTTATAACTCACATGTTGTTCAAATAAAAAGTGTTTGCTGGAATTTCCTGGGTGTGGTTGTACTTTTACACCTGAACAGATTAGTAGCTATAGCTTTTCTAGTGAAAATAAATCACCTTTAGTGCCAGTGTCCATAAAGCACCTGTATGTGTGATTATAGATGCAGGTCATTTAGACAGGCATGATTCTGTACCAGCTGTGCCCTGCATGGTTTAGAAACAATGAAGATAAATAGAGTTGAAACTAAAAAGGCCATATAAACCTTTGACTAGGTTCAAGCTAAATAAAAGGCTAAGAAACTATTCCATTCATTGACTTTTTATTTGGTTAAAAAAAAAAAAACTGACACAAGGTAATGATTAAGCTCTAGTATCAAAAGTCTGATAATGTAGAGCATAAAGGTGTGTCATTTGCTACAGCACAGTAGTGAAAAGGTAGACACAACAAATAAACATACTACAACATTAAAGGAAGTGAGGTTCACATGAGGACACACACTTCATGTAAAAGCTCAGAACCTCCACATTTCACTCACTGAGCTGCAGAGGCTGCACTAGTACTGATTCATGATTGTGATTAGCTCTGGGTGCTGGGCTTTAAGTAGTGAGGATTCAAATCAGTAAAAGACCTTTTAAATCAGGATTACAACTGTCATCAGAGCTATGATTGATTTGAACATGTTTATCTTGTATCCAGAGACACAAATAGGTCATGATTATTGAATTTTAAATAAAGATCTTTTGGTTCCTTTAACAGAACTAATGAGGAAGAATAATCAAATCAAGTAGAATGGATTGCCTACATTTTCATCATTTGTTTGATCCATTTCAGTTTTTCTTTGGTGAGAAAGGTGTACACTCCAGGCTTCATGATGATTCCACAGTCTTGTCCAGTGGAGGTAATGCCAACAAGATTTTCTTTGCAGAACAGTGGTCCTCCAGAATCTCCCTGCAACACAAACCATGTGACAATGTCCACTGCTGCACTTATAACATTTTTAAATGTCTTGTGAATCTGGTTTAAATCAAAATGTTCTCACTTGGCAGGAGTCTGCAACATTGGTCCCATCTGAGCCTGCACATATGTGTCCTCTGGTGATTGTAGGGTTGAAGTTGTAGTACTGCTTAGAGTTACACTTGACCCTGTCGATCACAGTGACATTGACAGACCTCAAAACATCTGAGCCTTTGGTAAACGTACTGTTAGTTTTGCCCCATCCTGCGACTAGGCAGGTGCTGCCAGGTGCAGGATCCACACTTTTACGCAGATGCAGCACTTTCACAGTGTTGGTCTCAGTTACATCTTCATCGAGCTACAACAATGCAGAAACATAATAATATAGAGCAGTAATATGCATAAAGATTTTGTAATCAATTTTTTTTGTAATCAACAAAGCACTTTTGTCAGGTACATTTTTTTTATTACACATTAACTATGTGCAGATGTGAAAAACCATCAATGTCTATACCTTAATCAGCATGAGGTCATTGACTTTCTCTTGTGAATCGTAGCAGGGGTGTTGAATGTAGTTCTTCACTTTTCTGATCTGTCTTGAATCCTTTTCTGCTATTTTGATGTTGTGTACACCCAGCATCACTCTTTTAATTTTAAAATCATCTCTAACAGTAACATTAATTATATGTATTAGTAAATAAAATGTACTTTTATATTTGTAAAATAAACTCAAACAAGTACTTGTAACAGTGCGCAGCAGTGAGGACCCATTTTGGACTAATCAGCGTTCCTCCACAAATTGGTCCTTGCTTGTTCTCCAGCAGAGCCATGTAGGGCATTGAGTGAGGGACCACTTCTTTACCATTGATAATCTCAACACCATCGTCTGTAAAACATTAAACAGTATACATTTTGTCCTATTAAAATAATAATTTTACATATACAACAATAACTATTACTCACTAGAGCAGACCAGACACGAAGCACAGAGCAAAAACACAAATGTAAATCTAGGATGAGTCATTTTCTCATCAGTGACTCGTAGACAGGAGAAAATAAGGGCTGATCAGCTGAATTTCAGTTTTAAAGAGTTACTGACCCCATTACTCCACCTACATATACTGTGAAATACACAGAGTGAGCGTATGAACTGAGGGTGGGGCATGGGCACATGACTTATAATGCATATATATAATGTACATCAAGTCATCCAATAAATCTAACCCTACCTAAATGAAGAACATTTGGGGAAAAAGTATCTGCAACAAGACAAACCTTATTGATCCACAGGGGAAATTATTTGGACACAGTAGCTCACACATCACAATATAACATAATAAAAAGTAAGAAATATAAATAGTAATAATGATTTCTAAATAAATAGCAAGAAGATAGCAAGAGGCAGGTGTCAAATAAGACATAATTATATAAATGTATATGAACAAGTCAAAATAAAATAGAAAGATAAGTAATACAATAAAATGACATTCTTTCATATTAACCAACATCTTCTGAGACCTTTTCAGAGCTAAGCAGCATGACGCAGGTGAATTTGTCTGTGACCCCCTATTTATGAAAATGTCTGTGGTTTGTGTTTCTCATTCATCTCTCTCATCAGCTGTGGTGAGGTGGAGGCACTCAGCAGTGTGCACAGCATGCGTAAAGGAACCTTTATGAGTTGAGATGATTCAAAGCAGTTGTAGCTAAATAAATGTCATTTGAGAAAAGTCTAAAATTGCAGTACACAACAGTTCCTAACGCCCAACACAAGAGTTATTAATAAAGCTTTAATTTCCATCTCACAGTGACACGGACTCCAACATAACATGAGGTGAAGGTGAGAGTGGACTTAACAATAACTGCACAGAAGTGTTTCTTCCGCTGCTGCAGGAAGTACATACTGGGCCTTCTTGGGGGGGGAGTAGTTACTGGCAAGAACTTGAGCAGTTACAGGCAAGCATTTTGAGGTATTGGGTAATGTGATAGGGATGTCTGTTAGGGTGAAGAGGGAGCAGGTTGCTCTGATTTTACTGAAGACCACAGTCATCGCCTCTGTCTTCTGGGTGCTGATCTACCAGGTTGTTTCCACTTCACCAGGACACCAGTCAGTCTCCATTCTCCTGGCAGACTTTGACTCTCCAAAATGAGATCAGTGAGGGCAGTCATTTTTATTTATAATTCAAATATTTATTATGATTTCAATCTTAAAACAAAAACAGAACAAAACAAAAAGTAACACAAACAGTGAGGTGCAACATAAAAAATACCACAAAAACACATTTAAAGGTGCATTATGTAACTTTTTGGTTGGGAGTCTGTCATCTGCTTGATTATATGTAATTTCTCTGGCTGAAACGTTCCACAATATGACATTAAATGGCTCTTTTATTTTACATTTATTCAATTACAGGTGGTTTTACTGTTCAACAAGCTTTCAGACAAAACAATAACATCTCCATGGAGAAAAGTATTTGAAGGACCCTCCACCAAAAAATGTGCACAATGCACCTTTAACCTAAACAGCTGTCCATCCTCTGCTCCCATATTTTCAGTGCAGGAGTTTTCTCTATGTTGCCAAATAAGCCGGCCGCATTAACACTCTGAATACAGGTTTGTTCAGGTAGACACTTGTCCCTTGTCCATCCGCAATCATAGTTTGGGTTGTCATTTACAAATTTAAACAGTTAAATGGACTTGTGGCTGAATATGATGCAGTCACATGGTTTAAAAAGAGAAGAGCAGAGGAGAAAGCACACAGCCCTGAATGTCCACAATCTGCCCATTTAATGCTTATTTTTGTGATTATTTTATTATTTAAGTCTCTACTTCTACTCCAGTAATAATTATGTACTTGAATATAGTTTCTCGCTCTGACTTGACATGTTGAGGTCTGACCTTCGCGCATTGATTCTGAGAAACTGACACTTCGCATGCACCAGGGGTCTTGTTGCACCTACAGCATTGTTACCACAGGAACCTCTCTTAAGAACAATCTGTTGACTTTACATCCTTTCAAAACCACCAAGTAGCAAATAAGAACTATATTTTGCAGACAGTTGGCATATAATTCAAAGCTAATTATTATTATTTTTATGGCATCCTTAAGTTTATATATGTGCAATAGATACTGATAACATAATGCTATAGTTAAATAGGCATGCTAAACTGTGCAATGCATGGTTCAAAACTGACTGATCAAAACTGATGATCATTACACTTAAAATAAATTCAAAGAAAATGAAATGCCACATACACTTTTAAATAGTCTCAATGAATTAAAGGAGACTTCTTGAAATATGGAACTGAAAAAATGAACAAACATTGAACTTTTGGCCATGATCTAAAACACTGAATAATGACTGAGCACCATCTAGTGATAAAACATGTTAAGTGCACTGTGTCATGTCCTGAACTGTGGCCTGGATACTTCCTTTTGAGAAGAAGAAGAAGAAGAAGAGGACTTAAATACAAAAGACTCACACTGGCTATTTGTTTACTGTGATCAAGAAAGTCTCTGGTGATAAAAGCTGACATGTAACATTTTCATTTCAATCTCACAAATTTTATTTAAAATATAATATTTAACAAATATAACAAACATAAAAAGAGACTAAATTGGAGTGCTGGAAGAGGTAAGTAGCACGAAAAATCAGACCTGAGACTATTTAACATATTTTCTTATCCACTTAATTTGTTTTTCTGTGAGAAATGCATACACTCCCGGCTTCTGGATGCGTCCACAGTCTTCTCCAAAGGAAGTAACACCAACTAAATTTCGTTTGCAGAGCAGTGGCCCTCCAGAATCTCCCTGCAACACAAACCATATGTGACAATGTCAACTTAGACTTATAACATTCATTGCTTTTAATATTTCTTTGCAAAATTTCATATGAATACAGTTTAAATCAAAATGTTCTCACATTGCAGGAGTCTGCAACATTGGTCCCATCTGAGCCTGCACATATATGTCCTCTGGTGATTGTGGGTTTGAAGTTGTAGTACTGCTTAGAGTTACACTTGACTCTGTCGATCACAGTCACATTGACAGACATCAAAACATCTGAGCCTTTCTTCGCTTTGTTTTTGGTGTAGCCCCATCCTGCGACCAGGCAGGTGCTGCCAGTTGGTGGGTCCTCTACACTTTTACGCAGAGGCAGCACACTCACTGTCTTTGTCTCCTTCACAGATTTAGCAAGCTTATAGGACAGAAGTGCAAGAATATAGTCACAAATGAGTATGCATAAAGATTATACAAACATAAATGAGTATGCTTCAATATTACACAGACAGATGATTGGATACCTTTATCAGCATGAGGTCATTGACTTTCTCTTGTGAGTCATAACATGGATGTATAATGAAGTCCTTTACTTCTCTGATTTGCCTAGAATCATTTTCTTCATTTTTGAGGTTATGCACACCCAGCATCACTTTGTTAATGTTAAACTTCTTAGTTCCACTGAAATTGCATGAGTTAGTAAATTACAATTTAATTAGTATGTATATATTTTTTACTTTTTTGTTATTGACTTAGACAAGTACTTGTAACAGTGCGCAGCAGTGAGGACCCATTTTGGACTAATCAGCGTTCCTCCACAAATTGGTCCTTGCTTGTTCTCCAGCAGAGCCATGTAGGGCATTGAGTGAGGGACCACTTCTTTACCATTGATAATCTCAACACCATCGTCTGTAAAACATTAAACAGTATACATTTTGTCCTATATATAATAATATATATAATAATATATAATAATAATAATTTTACATATACAACAATAACTATTACTCACTAGGGCAGACCAGACACGAAGCATAGAGCAAAAACACACAGGCAAGTCTAGGAAGAGTCATTTTCTCATCTTCTTAGAGACTGATAGATTGGAAGAAATACTACCTGATCAACTGAGTTTGTTTAAATAGAAACTAACCCCTTTAGTCCATCTACATATGCAATGAAATATACAGAGTGGGGGGTGGGGGTTGGGGGGACTAAGGGCGGAACCTTTATTTACGTGACATGTTTGAGGTTTGTGTTTCTCATTTATCTTTCACATCAGCTGTGGTGGAGGGGAGGCAGTCAGCGGTGTGCACAGGGCTAGGATGGGGTCTATATAGTTTCATTTGAATCATGCTGATTCAGAACAGTCATATCAAAGAAATGCAAAGTCATTTGTGGAAAGTCACACCTTTCGGCTCGGAAGATGAGGTGCTGAAGAATCTAATCTGAAACCACACTGCTGAAATTAATTAATTTATTTGTTATTTCTATCAAACATTACATTACATCATGCTTAATATGACGTGCTTTGATACTTTACAAGGAGACATTAAATACAGTTTATGGTTAGACATTCATGTTTCTGTGGATAGGAGTTGTAACATATAGACATTGCTTGGAGATTGCAGATACAGAGCCAAGATCTGATTGCCAGGGGAATCCTGGCAGGAGAGGGGACCATGTACATGTTTTAGTGGATGTACATGTTTTAGTGGAAGGGAAGAATAGTGGATGTACATGTTTTAGTGGATGTACATGTTTTAGTGGAAGGGAAGAATAAAGCATCAGATGGAATCATATACAAACACGGGGAGAACATGCAAACTCTTCACAGCAAGGCTGCATGTCACCCTGAACTCAAATCCAGGACCACCTGTACTTACTGGGCATTTCAAAGGCGGCAGAAATATTTTGTCCAACTGGTTTAACCACAAGTCTAAGAAAAATTGTGAATTTAGTAAAGTATGATTCATTTCATGTTATGACCTATTCATGTGTATGTGGGTACAGTTGAATAATACAAAAATATGAACTTTGTTAAATAGTGAAGTCTCTTGAACAGTCCAGAGCTGACCACTTCAACAAAGGCACATCTTCTCATTTGTTTTTCAGCATCAGAATTTGCATAACAGGGCCAAATACATGTCACACTACTGATACATTGGCAGTACGCACTGGAGAGAGCTGGGAACAAACCCTTGGCCTTTTGATTAGAGGGTGAATGCTCTACACACTGAGCATTCTTATTTTTCAGTGAGCTGTTCAGCCAACCCTGCATGTTTTCAATGAAAACATGTTAACAGTTGTTTCCTCTGTAGGTGTCTCCATGAGTGACTTGTCCTGCTCAAACTCCTTCAGTTCTCCTACAGTTGGATAAGAACATAAATATGTGGAGCTCATACAGAACCATAGAAACTAAAAGTATATCGCACTTACCTTTTTTACATAATACATAGTACAGAACCCACAATGTAGGAGCCAAAAACAAAACTTTGATCCACTTATATATAATATGACGCATATCGTTTTCTGTAACAGAAAAAAGAAGAGTGAACACACTTTCACCTTGAATTATATGAAAACACACAAAGGAATTGCAAAAGATCCTACTTGTATGAATGTGTAAAGTAGTGGAGTCAGACAGAAGGGTGCGTATGCTCCCTGTTTGATTATCAGGTCTGATAACAGAGGCGGTGATGTTAAAGGAGTAGTTGGTGGCTGAGGTTAGGTTGGAGATGTAAACAGTGAAGGTGTCATTGGTCCCGGTGTAATGATAAGTAGAGGTACTGCAGGTATTGAAGCATGTTGTGACTGTGTAACTATGAATTCTCCTCTGCATGAAAGCAGACACATTCCAGCTCAAAGAGACACTGTGTAAGTGTGAGACCCATGACACATTCTGTGGTCCCACCATCAAGGGCCCTGAGAGCAAACAGCACAAAAGCTTTACAACTCAAACATCATTAAGCATGCTTGTTTTGGGTGAAATATGTATTATTTCTAATAATTTCTTACCCTGACAGACAAATGCATGTGGCTCATTACAATATCGGGAGCACATCTTCTTGTGTGTTGTCAACTTTGCTTCCAAACTTACACAGAAGCCAATGTTGTTGCTCCACCACTGCTTATAGAGTAGACTTTCCCCATCAACCCAAGTCCAGTTTTTGTCATTAATACGGAGCAGGCCGATCCAGAAGCTCTCTTCCTTTCCATCAGTTTGATTGTAGAGATGCCAATATTCTCTTTCTGTGTTCATGACAGCCAGGTCTACAAAATGTCTCAGACAAAACTCCCGGGATTGGTTCCAGGACATAGGCCCTTGAACCAGGAAGTAACGTGCTTCATCGCCAGCTACAGCCCAGCCATGGCACAGCACTGGCAATGAACAAAGAACAAGGTGATCATATAGGCCATTGTATATACTATATGCACACAATATAGAAACATCAGGAAGGGGGAATAAAAATCCAAAATGTTGAGCTGTTTCAACTGGAGTGTGCTGTCAAACTAAACATGTGCAAATATTAGTAAAGTGAATAGTGGCTGTTCAGTTTGGTAATTTGGCTCATTGTACGTGCCAAATTATAAGAGGAGAATGTGATTATTTGTAATTAAAGCATCATTTTTAAAATGAAAACCAGAGAATGTCATGTCAGTATTTACCTAGCACGGCCAGCTGCTGCAAAAAGTGTGTCTTGAAAAAAAGCTCCAGCTGCCAGAATATATCATGTTGTTGCTGTTTCCCCATCTCCAAATAGAATATGCATGTTGTTGAACTCCCAGATTCCCTCCGTATCCGCCTAGCATGGACCTTTATACTATGAGAGCTGACGTACAAAATGCAATGATGCAAGTTGGGCTGAGTGGGCGGAGGCTAGAGTTGTTCACCAATGTCACCAAGTTTATCATTATCCATTACAGTCTTGCATAATAGTCCAATATCACACAAAACTGAATCGTGTGAGTGTTTAGCTATGTTATAATGCTATCACCTCTTCAAAAACATGCCTGGAGTTGTGTTTTGTGTGCTCAAACTAGGGTTGAATTATTTTTACTGACTGTATTTTGAGCAATATGAGATACCCACGTAAAAGGAGCCCAAATGTTGACGTTTAGATTATAAACCCTCAATTAAACATCTGCTACTCCTGCTTAAGAGCTGCATTAGCTTTCAAGTCAGACATAGCCACAAGTGTTATTTCTATACAAAACACAGAACAAAATGACTAAAGAACTATTTTTAAAAGGTAGGTCAAATTGTATTTATCAATGATATGGGATTTCCTGCATTCTGATGCACTTTGTGTGTAATATTTACTTTCAAAACAAAATCAAAAAAGAAAAAATGGGCTTTTGCACAGGATTTGAACAGATTAAAGAACAATAGTAAAATGCAAAAACTTTTGAATTACTTTAAATATTAGGCCCTAGAGAGCTAAATAAAGTAAATACTATTTGTTATATTACAAACAATAAAAGAATAAATAAAACATACCCTAAAGATTATTTTCCTAAACATTTTTTAACTCAGTCAAGTCTCACTCTTTAGACAGTGGTTGGGGAGTCCTTCCACTAGTAAATTAACTGTTAGTTCAGAATATGAATAAGATACATTGAGGATCTGACACTGTGAAGGAAGTTCACTGGGTCAGCTCTCACACAGTGTCCAGCTGAAAAGTCCCGACGCACTGATTTGATTTGATTTGACTGATTTAAAGGTTGTTCTATAAATAGCACAAAAGCTCCACCTTCTCCTGAGTTATTTATAGTCACAAAGGTTTAGATAGTGATATCCCTGTGAATGATTTAACACTTTCCCAAATTCCAGTGCATATGATATCACTGATATCTCTGATGCCACAGTACTGAACAATTTCCGACCCATCTCAAATCTGCCGTTTTTTGGCAAAGTCCTTGAAAAAGCTGTTTACCAACAGCTTACGAACTTTCTCCAAATGAACAACTCCTTTGATGTTTTCCAGTCAGGTTTTAGAGCCCACCACAGCACTGAGACTGCTCTTATCAAGGTGACAAATGACATCCGCCTGAACACTGATGCAGGCAAAGTCTCAATCTTGATCCTGTTAGATCTGAGTGCTGCTTTTGACACTGTCGATTATGGGATCCTCTTACAGAGACTAGAAGACTGGGTGGGCATCTCTGGTACTGTACTAAACTGGTTCAAGTCCTATCTAGAAGACAGGAAGTATTTTGTTGAAATTGGAAACTGTGTCTCAGATCACATGGCCCTGACCTGTGGGGTGCCTCAGGGGTCAATCCTGGGCCCCCTGTTGTTCAATCTCTACATGCTGCCGTTAGGCCAGTTAATAAGCAGCAATAACGTGTCCTACCACAATTATGCAGATGACATTCAGATCTACGTCTCTCTGGCAGCAGGAGACTATGGACCAGTGGACTCACTTTGTCACTGCATCCAACAGATCAGTGTGTGGATGCAAAACAACTTTCTCCAGCTAAACTCTGACAAGACTGAAGTCATAGTGTTTGGTCCACAGAAACAAAGGGACAGTGTCAGGAGTCACCTCCAGTCTCTCTCTCTAAAACCTTCAAACCAGGCAAGAAATCTAGGGGTAATAATGGACTCAGACTTGAACTTTAACAGCCACATCAAATCAATAACATCTGCAGCTTTTTACCATCTAAAAAATATAGCAAAAATCAAAGGTTTACTGTCTAAAGCAGACTTGGAGAAACTTATCCATGCGTTTGTCTCCAGTAGATTAGACTACTGTAATAGTCTGCTCACTGGTCTCTCCAAACGAGCTGTGAGACAGCTGCAGAACATCCAGAACGCTGCAGCTTGGGTCCTTACTCAAACTAGGAAGTATGAGCACATAAGTCCTGTGCTCAGGTCTCTACACTGGCTTCCTGTGCCTCAGAGAATAGACTTTAAAGCAGCTCTGCTTGTGTACAAGTCTCTCCATGGCCAAGCACCAAAGTACATCTGTGACTTGTTAGTGTCATATGAACCATCTCGCACTCTGAGGACCTCAGGGACCGGTCTCCTGCTGGTGCCCAGAGTCAGGACTAAACAAGGGGAGTCAACGTTTCAGGTTCATGCAGCTAAAACCTGGAACAGTCTGAACATGTGAGACAGGCCTCTTCTGTGACGCTGTTTAAATCCAGGCTCAAAACATTTCTGTTTAACTGTGCATATGACTGAAAGGTTTTCATTCCGCACTCTTCTCTCCAATTTATGTCTCTCTTTTTAATTTTAATCTTCATGATTATTTATGTTTTAATTTGTTTTTATTATGATTTTAATGTATTTCTTATTCTGTAAAGCACTTTGAATTACTTTGTGTATGAATTGTGCTATACAAATAAACTTGCCTTGCCTTGCCTTGCCTTGCCTGATTACTTACTGAGTACTGCACGTCCTTTGACGCTATCTTCCTGCTATGGTTCTCACAATGTTAATGCTATATTAACTAACTCAATGTTCAAACACCACTGAAAAGTTCTGAGTTTTTTCTTTTCTTTTCATCTTTTTTATTATGCTTATTTCAGCATTTGGGGTGTTGGGGTCTGACCTTTACATGTCGGTTCTGCGAAAAAGACACATCACATGCTCTAGGAGTCTTGTGGCACACCGTCACCACAAGAGACACTTTCATAAATAATCTGATCTGGTCACATCCATGCAAAACCAAAGAAATAACAAATGTTGCCATGACCTGCTTGCTCTACACACAACTATTATTCCATTGTCATATGCTAATAATTACTATACATTTATTTTACATTTTGCTCTCTGGAGAACAGAACTACACACAGGCAAGCTATGTGTTGCATACTGTGTGTTTTCTTGTGCATATAAACTGAACTCTTACAGTTTGTGGTTTCTTTAAAGCAAAGAAGTGGAAACTGCCTTGCCTACAACAAAGCATAAAGAAAGCTCTGTGGCTCTCTTTCACTTCTTACGTGTAGTTCTGTGATAGAGACAAACAGACTGACACATACAATATTTACATGTCCCAAATTTGCACTGACTGATCTGCTCCAGCTGTGTAGGTCTGAGAACCATCTTTGTTGAAGGCCAAATGCAGGACTCGTTTTGTATGACCTGAAATGAAAGGATCACAAGTCACATTAATAAATTAGTCAGTGGTTTTTTGCTACTCAGCTGTGTACATGGTGTACATAGGCTACCATTGTCTACTATCCCAAGCATTTTTTTGCACTTATTTAGATTCAAACTAGGTAAAGTTGCAGCATGTTTTTTTTGGATAAAGGAGCGCAGTTTGAAGTGGTTATGTTTGACAAGCCAGTCATACTATTCCTTATACATGGAGGCTCTGAGCTTTCACATGAGGCAGGGCATGTCCATATAGCCTACTAAGAATGAGAAAAAACTTGTATGTGTTCTCTATATGCAGGTTTATGCACTGGTACCTTTTTAAAACAGTAAATGTGCAGAGTACTCTTCCTTTAAGAAGGTGTATATAAATGTTCTTGTCTGGAAAATTATAGTAGATTCTCAATAGTTCAATTTATTCATTACACTGTGGTAATTACATCTGAATGCTATAGTAGTTCAGGGAAGAGACGAAGCTATTCTATAAACCCACATAATAATTAGGTGTATATTGTTTCATTTTTTATTCACCGGAAAGCTGGAGAGTCATAGTAAGATCAGGGCTATTCCAGGCCCAAGATGAGATGTGGTGATGGGGAACACCATGCCCTGTTACCAGCCTTTTCTTCTGTCCTGACCATCTGAGACAACAGATCTGAAATCATAAGCCCAAATCAGACCAATGCTTAATGCCTGTATATTCCAGTGTGAGACAAAAGTAAGTTAAACCTGTGAGTTTGTTTGGACAGAGGTCAGACAGGTCCCACATTTAGTGTCCCAAATCCTCACTTGTCCATCTTTCCATCCCCCTCCAGTGGCTATTGTATTTTTTTCCCATGGACACCAGTGCATTGCCTTGCAAAAATAATTGGCAACAGAGTGAGTGTGTATTAGGGGGAATGTTTATGTGAGGGCCACAGGTGCATCATGGTTGTTTTGCCTCCTATGACTAAAGCTTATTGCCAGCAGATAAAAAACAATATGCATTTTTGTATACACTTTGGGTTCTAATGTATGGGCTTCAAGAGTGACAAAAATTTGCATTGTTGCCCTAGAAATGAACAATTCAATACAAAATATTATCACTTCTCAATGGTGAAAAGTGCTCAAATGAATACCTGATGTTCCACTGACCTTCACAGAAGTGAGCTGTCTCATTGTAGACACAGGCTCTCGTAACTTTGTGCTAATGTGTTGGTCCCAAACATGAAGTTGGCCCTCTATGGAACCACTAGCCAGTTGGTCATGTTCAGACCATTGCAGACTGCACACTCCACCCTGTTGAGAGGCTGTTCCCACCTGAGCTCCTCCCCGGGTGTCATAATGATGGATCTGCCCCAGGTCTGAACCACTGCAATAGAATTAGATTCATTAATAATTGTGCTTATTCAGGTCATAATAATGGTAAAAAAGTGAGAAATTTAGAAGGAAAAATTGGGAATTTCAATGGAGTCTACACTCGAATGTAAACCTAGGTCATATTAACTTTATACTTTTTTCATTATTTCCCTTAAACTGGTAACATAATAAACATAAATCCTTTATTATACATGGGATTTAAGGATTTAACTGCTTATTTTTTTTCTCACAGCAGTTGTACCACAAAAATCTGATATTGTAACATTTCTAAATACAATATAATTTTGTTTCATTTCTTTTGAAAAATAATACAAGAAGGTAAGCCCACCTGCTGACTAAGTTGTGCTTCCAGGAAAGGGCCCTGACCGCAGACTGATGAGACGATACACGTTTCACACTCAAACCATACTCCACATCCCACAACTGAAGTTAAACAGAAAGACCACATCAACTGACGATTTAAGGTATATAATTTCCCCTCACATTATTCAAACCACAGGCACAATGAATCAGCTTTTTCTTCACAATGTTTTACCTCAATGTCGCCTCTTCTGTTTCCAATACAGAGTTCTTGACCATCTTTGCTCCAGCATAAAGACAGGATTGTTTGGCTATGTGAACTGGCCTGTCCCTGTGATGCTTTCGGAGCCAGATGCCCCAGTAAAGCACAGTTTTTTGAGTGCCAAAGGTAGACAGAGGATCCAAGGGCTAAAGCGATGACACCGTTAGAACTGCAGTCAAGAAGATTAGTGTCTGAGAAAACAATATTTAAAAATTGAATACAATGAAGTAGAGTTTATGTTGGTAAAGGAAGACATTGTCTTACAGTAGTCATCCAGTAGTAATGGTGCAGCCAAGCTCATCTGCGACTCTGACTGTATGTTCAAAACAGAAAATGGCTGCAGATCACCTGAAAAAACAGAAGAATTAAGATTAAGATATTGATATTAAGAAATGTTATACAGCCAAACTACTTATGTCTACTGGGGCATTTTTTATAAAGTGATTATATACAAAAAATCTGGCAGCCTTAGTGATATAGTGGTTGAATTAGCAATTTACATATGCTTTCAAATAAAGATGTATTCACAGTTCACATCGTTGCAGTTAACCAAAGAAGTAACAAATGGCCCAACGAGCTGCTAGCAACTATTCTTATATTGTCTTGTACTAATAATTCTAGTAATTACTATACATTTATTTTACATTTTGCTCTCTCAGATACAAAACTACTTGCTGGCAAGTTTATAGAGTGTTTTTTCTTGCAAGATACTGTGATTGGATTAGCAATTTATATATGCTTTCAAATCAAGATTCAGTTCTCAGTGCACATCTTAAACTGAACTATAATACTACATGCAAGTACGTATAAGCAAAACATGCACCTGAAGAGTTGGCTTCTGCATTGCATTCCCCAGCACGTCTCCACACCATCATCTGGAAAAACAGTAATTCATTTAATATAGCCCAGCATTATGGTTTAATTTTCAAATATTCTCTTTTTTTTTTTTTCTTTTTTTTTTCCAGTTGGCAACATTCAGGTATCGGAATAATATGATAATGCCATATTCTGTGATGCGAGACAAAAGCCAGTTTTTGCATACTGATTACATGGATTACTGCAAATGTCCAAATGAAAAAGCCACATATCATGTGTAACTGTCGCAGTAGATATTATTATTATTACTATTATTGTGAATGTTTTATTTTTGATGCTCACCTCTGACCTCCAGTGGTAAAGTCAGACATTGCATGTACACGCGCCCTGTGCTTGATTCAGAATGGACAGGACAAAGATCGAGAAATGCACAGAAAATGTAGACATGACAACTCCTAAATGTTAAGGGTCAGAAGGCGCACACGGTTTGTTCATTTGTGTTTTGTTTTATTGCATATAGTTTGTATATTTCTGATAAAGTTATGTTTTAGTTGTTCACGGTGGAGCATCAGCATCAAAAGGAAAAGAATAAAAGCTAAGCATCAGTGAAGCGTGGCTTAATCTGTACCTAGACGAAAAGCTTTGAGCAATCATTATCATGGACCTGATCATTTATAAATGCAGGCTCTTGAGCTTAAATTTCAATAAAGACCTGCTTATAACACATGCCCTCCTTCCATTGTTTTAAGCCTGTAGAATCTTGTGATGTTGTTTCAATCTCTAATATATCTATATGCCGCTTCTTGAACAAGACTTCACATGATACTTTGAGACTGAATAATAAAATGAGGATATTAAGACTTCTTAAACTAACCGGATCCGCTGCATTGTCCTTGTGAGGTGGTCCGTGCAAGGGGGTGGTGGTATGTGGTGTGATCACTGATCTCTTTAGATGGGAAGTAACAGTTGCTCCTGCTGAGGAAAACAAAATACAGTTAGCCTTTATTGCCTATGTCTATTATATGTATAGTAGTAATAGTAGCAGCATAGTATTTGTTACTGTCATTCTTGGGAAGTACTGAATACCTGCACGTATTGTACATATGTACATGTGTTTGCATCTTTGTGATGAATTAAGTGATGAAATAATACCTTCAGCATCTATTTGGCCTTTGTCGGGGTGCTGTTTGGGTGGAGAGTCAATCAGCAGCCTTTGACGCACTGTGTCTAACATGAAGCTGTTGTTTTGCTGCCACCCAGTGGGCAAAGGAGTGCTAGCAGCAGGAGCGCCAGTCCTGTTCCTTAAAATGATTCGTCTTCTAAACATTTTGTAAGCCACAGAATGTCTGTCATTCTGCTCCTGAAAGACCAACAGACAGATTAAAAAAATAACGCGATAAAAGACATGAAACCATACTATTAAATATTGCGATAGCAATGTTTGAGAATTTGTGAAGCCCAGTTGGTTAAATAAATTGTCCTTGCATTTTTTTTTTTACTCTATATTAAGCATAATTATGAATGTATGCCAATAAGCTGGGTTTAGTAGCCTATATGTGTTTTGTTTTGTTAGCCTTGGATAAGTTGTATGTTCTCTTCCAGTGAGTCTGTGCGCATCTGGAACTCGTGCAGGGCCCTCCGCCTCTTCAGTAAGTTCTTCCCCCTCCAAGATGGAGGCTTTAGGGGGCTACCCTGTGAAGTCCTCCAGCCTGAAAGCTAAACGTTTGAGGGTGCTTCTGAGTATGACCGTGGGTGTAGGATGTCTATTCCTTTTGCAGACCCAGTTGGTGAAACACAGAAAGCCAAAAGACTTTTATTCTTTCGACGTTAGAGACGCAAAGGGGAGGACGTTTTCCTTGGAAAAGTACCGAGGGAAAGTAAGTCCACATCAGCAGCTATCGCACTCATGAGCAGACGACAAAATTAACAAAACAAACATGACAGTATCTTTAGGGTACTATTGTGTGCATATGTATCTGTTACATTTACATTTGGGTTTTAAAGTCATATATACTAGTACAGTTTTATTCTCGTATGCACAGGTTTCTCTAGTTGTAAACGTGGCGAGTTTCAGCGACAACACGGAGGCAAACTACCAGTTTCTGCAGGAGCTGCACAGAGAACTGGGCACCTCTCACTTTAATGTGCTAGCCTTCCCCTGCGGTCAGTTTGGGGACACTGAGCCCGGGACCAGCAGGGATATTGAGGCTTATGCCAAGTCTACGTACGGCGTCACGTTTCCTTTCTTCAGCAAAATCAAATTACTGGGCAAAGAGGCGGACCCTGCCTTCAAATTCCTCACAGGTAGGCTGCACATACACAACAGAATTATAAATGTGTTATAGAAAAGACCACTATTTCAAATCGCACAATTCACTTATACATGAGATATTTATTTATTGTTACAAGTTGGTGAAAAACACTAGTACTGTAAGGATAACAGTATAGTACAAATACACAACAGAATAGACTATATTTTGTTAAAAGCTTATTATAGGCTGTAGTTTATAAAGAACATTGTCAACAAAGTGGAGCATGGTAAAAGCTCTACTTCCAATATTTGCAAGTTTGAGTTCTATTATTTCTTTACTCTACATGTTCCAGTATGGCATTACATTTATCTATCTCCATTGAGACAGCAGGTGATGTTTATTTATTCATAGTTTATTTGATAAGGACATCTCACAACAAATCTTAGATTAACTGGTCACACCACCATGCCAATTTACAGGTCAGATTTGTGATTAGACAAGCATGCACTCAGTAAGAATGCATATTTTTCAGTGGATTTTTCTAGTGCAATAAAACATACTTATATAAATACAGTATGAATAATTAATAAACGCAAAATAAACATTTAGTATCATACTGTGGATCATTCAAGCCAAAACAATATTATCTTCATAGACAAGCAGGTAGCAGCCCCAACAGCACAAAAGCCATGTGATACACCTTTAAGTTACTTACTGTTGCTACTTAAGATCTCATTTCACATTTCAGTTTTCCACTTAATAGCACTTATTTAATTTATTTTGTTCATTGATTATATTATTTTTCAGATTCTGTGCAGAAAACTGTAAAATGGAACTTCTGGAAGTTTCTTGTGGACACAGAGGGAAAAGTGGTTCGATTCTGGAGGAACACTGAATCTGTGGAAAGTGTGCGTGAGGATGCAAGGGCAATGGTTCGAGAAATCATCTTAAAGAGGAGAGCTGAGCTATGACACAGTTGCTCAAACAGACTCATATACATCTGTTGTGTTCTGACACCAAGAGAAAACTTAATTGTTGCCAGGGTCATGCCTTCTTCTAACCCTGCATCATTAAAAAGGTGACCACCTGTCAGCAACGTCCTGAGGTAACATTAACATTTGCAGCTGAAAACTTCCAAGACTTGTATTTTTTAAAAATAAATTGATTTGAAATATTTCAGCCATGGTTGTAATTCATGAGTTAACAATAAGCAAATATTGTTGATATTTTAGTTAAGTGGATTTGTAACTTTATTGAGTATTGTATTGAGTTTTGTCAGTAAATCTATTTAAAGCATTGTTGAGACTTGTGTATCCAGTACATGTCATGTTACCTACACACAGTTGACTGTTATGGTTACGGTTGTGTGGACAGTTAGCGGGCAGCAGCAGGTAAGCTGGTATATTTAGAGTTTAAACCAGCTAACAAGACACTGCCTCCTAATCATCCACAATCACCATGTTATGACAAACCATTTACAATGGGGTACACGCAGATGGTAATCCTAGAACTATTTGTAAGCATCTAGAAGGGTTAAGGTTTTTCATTATATATTATACAGAGGGGGAAACGACTGTTAAGGTAGCACTGCAGTGTGAGCTGAAGAGGGTACAGTCAGCTAACATTACACTGCCACCAAGCCAGCCACAGAAATACTTCATTTAAATATTTAAATAGCCACTCAGTTTCACAAGTGCAGTTGTAAACGGTGTGTTTTGGTGGCCACAGTGAGGAGTGCAGCTGACAGCCGTTAATCACAAGCCACAGCCAGCAGCAGAGCACTGCCTCACTGTCACCACCAACCCTCAGACAAAGGCTCAGGACAAGTCCCCAAATCTGACAAAACCCTGTAACATGTAATCTTACCTTAAAACTAGAGTGTCTGCTACACTCAGATTCTGACAGGTGTCTTCTCCTGTCGACCTGCTAAAAAAAAAACAAAAAAAAAAAACAACTTTTCAACTAATGAAAATGTACACATTTAAATTAAATACCCGTGGAAGCACACAGGCTTTTACGTCAGCTACCACTGTGTGTTTTGAGTTTAGTCATGAAGTTGCCTGGCCGCCTTGTCTGCTCTATCACCTAATTTCTGGGGTTACATTTACGCAGCTCACCCATTGCCTCAGGTCCTCAGTGGAGTGTTGCAGTCTCATGTCCTCGCTGTAGGCTCACCTGCACACTCCTGGACTTGTACGAGGGCACTTCCTAAATACTGCAGGCACGCGCACAGTGGAGCGGGAAGCACGCGCTCTGCCAATAGTGCTTAAGGATGTGCGTCCTGAAGAGCTCTTGCCGAGAGCTCTCTGCGTCTCTGTTTCTAATGGAGACTCTGTGCACACACAAACCTAACGCGGCAGAATTTAGAGAAGAACGCGCGGAGGTCCGTTTTTTTGCACCAAGGACAGGTTACTTTGCTCAGACTTAAGCGCATTGACAAGTGTTGTCAGTACCATCAACTGGTGTAGTACCGGGGAAACGCAAACCAAAATAGGCCCAGATGTCCTAAAACGAAATTCTGCTTATTCATCGAATTAAGTTGAATTTAATGAACCTGTTCATGTTCCGAGGGGGCTGTTACCTTGTACTTTTTCCTCAATTAATTTCTGTTTGTCCAGCTTCTGATAAAAGGGAACTTTAAATTTCATAGACATGTGATGGAAATCTGTAACCAGTGTATTTTCAATCAAATCAACCATTCTGAGAAGAATCTGCGGACTTGTTTGCCTCATTACAAGTACCTAAATCTCATGTTTAGTGAGATTTGCTTCAGCTTTGACATGGGAATTGTAAAAAAAAAAAAAAAACTCAACAAATGCTAAATCTTCTTTCTCAGGCCATCCCCACTTACACCTGCTATATTCTTACCTCCCAAAATTAAGGCGGAATTTGAAATCTGACTTTCCTCTGTTCCCAATTCGAATTAGAGCACAGAGACAGTTAAAGGACAGCAGAGGCCAACACCACAGCGCCTCAGGTTCATAAAGAGTCTAAACATATGTTTGTCCTCCGAAGGGCTAAGACACAAATTCAGTTAGAATTGCAAATCATCTCAGTCAGTTATTTTTGGAAAAATTAAGGTGTTTCTGAAGGTTAATGACAATTATAGGTGAACTATGGAACTTTACAGCACTTCTTGTCTCCATGGTGATATTTATTGGTTTGCCTGGAGTCTTCCACATGGCAAACCATAAGCAGAGTGCCAAGAAACAGGTGTCGCCAGGCCAGGTTACGAGCCAGATCTTTCAAGGTAGTCTGAACAATAAAAACGCATTATTGTGATAAATGCAAGATAGATACATTTAATGCCTTACTGTGGAACATTTCAGGGAAAACAGCATCTTTATAGAGACAAGCAGGTGGCGGACAAAGAACATATGCAGTTTTAAAATGAGTGATAATTGGACCCTTTTTTATTTCCAAATTAACTTTAAAAAATGTACAACACTGATAAAAGCCTTTGTTTTTATCTAATTACCCATAGGCTACAGTTTATAATTTTGCGGGCTACAAACCAGTCTTCGCGCCCTGTACAGGCTTAATGAGGGACCCTCGCGCTCACAGGGCCGAACGGCGCGAGCGTGAAACTGCAGACATCCTCTCCACCTGCCACCTCCATCTGTGCGCACTGCGCAGGGTATTAACAGAGTGCCGCAATTATGCTACTGCCAGAGTGTGAGCAAAGATCCGCAGATACGTGACGTCCCGACGAAAGCCCAAACACTAATTTCTACAATGTGAAACATCAGCCTGCAGCTAAGAATATTATTCTAAATTTGCTCTAAATGTTAATCCTTTGTAACATGCTTCTAACCTTGGCTCTACTTTTAGATTGTTACCAAGGAGACTCCCTGCCCTCCCGCTTTGTACCCCGTATTTGGGCGGTAGTTTAGCGGGTCAAGTGGGCTATGTCACAACGAACATAAAAAAAAACCAAAAACTTCAATGTAGCCTAATTGTTAGTCTCTTCTTTTACAGGGTGAGGACATTCAGCATCCTACACATATCTGGCTTATGTTAAAGAAAGGGATGCAATTTTTATGAGTGGATTTTTGAGCAATAATCTATATAGGCCTGCCTATATGTTAACATAACAGTATAGAGTTCCACCAGAGGGAGCCTAAATATTTCTTTCCTTAAAAGTAAGATCGTCTATTTGAGTCCACAAAATAGTTTGCCTTCCTAAATACAAAGGATGATAAAATCAAAGCCCATAGGGCCTACTTGTAAGGCCCATGAGCCTCGACCAAACAGTTTTTTGTCATTGGTTCAAAGCAAACAGGTCAGAGTTTGTGGAGTTTGAACAGGTGCCTGACCTGAGGTTCGGCATTGTCCCCTGTCTACAGCAGCTTCATGGTCCTCTCAGGGGGTGTAAAGATTACACTGCTCACCAAGGCCACAGGGCTACACCCATAATGCCATAATCTATTGTACTGGAAGTGGTCAAATGATGATGCTCAGTCTTCATTTTTTGGACACTCTTAGGACCCATCATGAGGGTTTTTCCTTTTTCCTTACCAAGCTGGTAGTTTTGAACAGATACCCAGCTATAGTGAGTGGTGAATGATGATCTTGTAATTTTGGAAGGCATACTGTATGTATGTAATGCTTATATATTATATTGTTTTGTAATTTCAGGTTTTGGGAGGTGAAGCCATCTCTCCTGTGCACCTGTTCACTGTCCTTGTTTTATAATAAAATTGTACATATGAACACTATGATAAATATTGTTCTGATAATGTACAAGAAATACATCTTCATACTTTTTCATACATACAAAAAATGTTACATGTAAAATTATTTATGTTATTGTTAATAGACTTCTGTTTAAAGATTTAAACATAATGTTTCCATTGTCATATTTGCATTTAATGTGGATTTAAACCAGGATGTGGACAGTGATACATCATAGCCTTTTCTGCCTGTCTTTGTGAAGACCACACAACCATTCAGCAGAGACAATGGCAGGGAAATCCTAATACCTAAAGTTCACAGGGTCACAGTGTCCTACAAGCAATGTGTTGTTTATTTTGAACTTCAAATAATCATACGTCAATAATTTGAACGAAAAACATATCACTTTCTCTTATTTATTACGTTCATTGTGTACCATTTGGATCAGTTATCGAAGAAATACAGCACAGATATCATCCTTCATAACCAAGTCCTGACATGTGTAAACAAATGTAAACATCAACTTTGGCAGTGTCACTTCCTTTGTTGAGCATCAGCTCTGACTGATTAGCCTACCAGTGCTACCAGAAGAAAACATGAAGTAATCATTTACATACCCACACATTCTGAGTAATGATGATTTAATCAAACATTTAGCTCAACCATTTAACATATTTTAATTAGCTTAATTTTGACACATCAATAAATACATTTTTAATTGTAAAAATGTAATTAAATTAGCTTTGGGTAGGAATCCATCGAAAGCAGTATCCTCCTCGCTGAGTCCTTGTTGTAAATGCATGTCCGTGAGGAAACGCCTGTGTTTTAATGGTGCTGTGTTCTCTGACAGAGGCTCTGAATAAGGAGCCCCTCTCTGCCTCCTCTGCTGTGTCCATCTTTTCACTGCTGGTGTTTGAAAAGGAGGTCTGTAATCCTGAAAAAGAACCAAATGTGCGTATGCTGTCTGCTTCAGCATCTACAGCTCTGTGGAGCACAGCATTACAGCGAGTGCTGATGTCCCTCAGCATGTCCTCCACTGAGTCTGTCTCTGTCTCATAGCCCTCATCCAGACGCTGCCTCTTACATGGACTCAGGGTGGCATGGTCCTCATGTGGTATTACAGCTTCTCTGATGTTTGGTTCACTGACAGTTGTTAGTTTCTTTAAAGATAATTCATTTTTGTTAATTTCTTTAAAGAAATTTGAGAAGATGTTATTACAACAGCAGTGATTAAAAAGATGGGCTTACTTCTAATACTGCAGCCAAATGTTTGGCACGACTGGCCAGCTGCTTCAAGTGACGATTTCTTTCTTTATATCCTTCAGTCTCTCCTTGTTTATTCTCAAGGACCTTAAGTAGCAGTAAACACAAAAAATATGTATTACAGGCATGAAACTACTGCAAATGATAAATATCCCTTAAATAAGCTGCACTCTTTAAAATGAAGTTACCGTGTGGTTATTGTCAGCAGAGAATCCTAGCACACAGCCATGATACTGAGGCCTTTTTTCCCAGTTTGCCTTGTTTTGGATTGGGATATTGCCTTCATCACGAATTAAACCACTGTCCTCTGAAAAGTCCGGCTGAGGTGTGAGTGGTGGGATTACACAGCCCTGGAAAGGCACAAGATCAGCAGGAGAAAGGCTGCTCTCCAGAGGAGAATCTGAAAATACACAACTCTGTTAGACTGTACAGCAGCAGTGTCTGAAACACTTGTGTGGAAGGACATACCTGCTGTAAACTCCTGTACATAATCCAGAGCATGGTCTTCTGAATCACAATCTTTGGCCTGTCAGACAAAAAATGAAATCAGTTAAATAAATTAATAAAATGATTTATGATTCTTCAGATCATGAACCAAGAATGTCTATTCACCTGAAAACCCCACCATGGACAGTAATAAGAAGAGTTATATGTCATTGTGGTAAAATGACAGGAGCCTATGTGGGTGCTACTCATTGTAAAAAGTTAACTATAGCTTTCTTTTGACTAGTGTCTGAATTGATTGCGAACCAAACTCGTGAGCTCTGCCTTTTAGCGGAATGACATCAGTTAACTACAACGTGATTGGTGCAGAATTCCAGCGCACACTGTGAAACATTAACAGACTTCGAGAGATGCACTCACTGACATCGCTATCTTATTTTGGCCAGATGGGATTTAAAGTTCTATTTTGAGGAAAATAACATCAGTTTTACCCTATATCCCAGAGGGCTGATATCATGCGTCTCCCCAGATGCGCTGTCTTCAAAATCATCCCAAGCAATAGTGGAAAAAGCTAAAATACATAGTATATAAAAACAAATTATGTACACCTTCAACAAAATAGTGTGACTAAATATTATTTGCTAATGACTAGCACATGGATTTTTACGATACACCATGGCCTACCTTTTTCTACGATGCACGGTAGCTCCACGTACACGGTGACTGGACTGCTGCTTCTTGGCACCACTGGCACAACCAAATTTTCCTTTAGAAAGAAAATTTAAATAACTGCATTAAATGCAATGCAAATACGAATATAGGCAGTCTTTTTGTTGTTGTCTCAAACCTTGCGCCCTGTTGCATTGACAACTGGATTGGAACAAAAAGCATCAAACACCATTCTGTCTTTTTGCATCTTGTTTCTACACAACTGAGAAATAAGACTTTTGCGTAAATATAGACGGGTTTCCCCCGGTCTGTGCCGCGTCTACATGGTTTTGGTCCAATCAAACACTTGGATCCTGTCTCCAAGGAGTGACAGCGTCCTCAGAGGGCTAACGGTCCCAAAGTGTGAAGTGGTACCGCGAGCAAAGGCGCCATTGCAGCAGCTGTGGGTCAGATCTTTAGGCGCACTGCACGGTGAAGCGCCGTCTGTGGTTATTCCCCCATTTACATGGGTTGAGTATAGTGATACTATGTGATGTCTTTGAGTTACGCAGGCCAACATCAGATGTGGAGAAATGCAAACTGCTGAATTTGTGCATGCTCAGTGCTCTCGTAATCCAACATGATTCTCTCAATTAGGTGGCGTTGACACAAAGTGGAAAAGGAAAAGGGCAATTACAGACGACAGCTCAGTAAACACTAGTGACTAATGTTCCATTAGTAAACAAACAAAAGTAAGTCTAGTTGGCCCTTAATGCTGAATGCACCTGTGTGGTCGACACTGTGTCAGTAGGTTGAGCTGCCACGCGTAATGGATTATCAGATAGTATCCTTCAATTGACCAGGTTTTGTTGGCACGCTTTAACTGATACAAACAAATGTAGCACCACGTAAACAATCACAGTAAATTCGACTGATACAGAGTTGGATGTTTGCAGAAGGTCTTTATCGTGACCTTTGTTGGCCACAGGCTTCTTAGGTTTGCTGAGAGAAAAAAAAGTTTTTGGTCGTATCATTCATTAAACTATAATGGAACTGTTAAAATATATGTTGGACCACCACTCAATAAAGTAATTAATGAACAACTAGCTTATGAGTTGAGCTTTTTGAAAGGTGTTTTAAGGACTACAGGCTACAGTTAGGTCAACACCAATCACACAAGTTTTAAAAAAAAAATGTTTAAAATTAAAATTTTAACTATTTCGTTACATCAACAAATAATCATTTTGCTGTGATTAAAATAATTTGACAATCATTTTTATTATAGAGTATGACCCATAACTGAATTTCTGCACTGTGTGAACACATACTATTTGAAGCCATCATGTTATGTGAAAGCCTATCAGTGCATGTCTCTTTCTGTGTTTTGTGAAAATGATACTAAATTACTCAAAGGAGGAGCAGGCATAATAAGAGACAAAGATTGCCACGTCAAAATGTTCAGATTTACAATTCATTTATTGACAAATAATATGCAATCATAACATACAAGAAAACACTTTTAACATAACATTACAACCTTAAAAGAGGTTTGAAAATATATTACTATAGCTGTACAAATTGTTTAATTGTGAATGAGGTATACATAACAATCCAAAATAGTTGTTTGGAAGAGCTTACAACATTGTCAATGCCTCCTGGTTTAGTGATGCCAGTAACCTGAGGTTGTTTGTACACTCTTGAATCAAACTATATTCCTTGATTTTTACCAGATCACCTGACAGGCTGCTGTTAGAATAGTTACTGTCTGTTGAACTACTATCTGACTTATTCAAAAAGCTCTCCCACTCCTTGCCCTGTAAATGCAGTGGTTCTTGAGTTGCTTGTGCTGTTTCAGTGGCCAGCTGCAGTGCACATCTGGCTGTGAGAGATGCAGAATATTTGTTAAAAGCATAATCTGCAAGGCTTAACTCACACAGTTTTTGGGCAAGTTTACTGCAGCGACTGGTCCTTGTTTTGTCATTCTTGTTCAGTGCAGTAGCAGCCTCTCCACTCTTGAAGTTGTAACAGTCTAAGAAAAATGCCAGAGTTGGTGCACAAAGTCGGAAGTTTAGACGAACAAGTATTAAACACTCCAGGTTACACAATTGCTCCTTGGTGAAGGCATCACAACACAAGGACAAGAGATCACTGATTTTCGGCGAGCACACTTCAACCTATGTTTGAAAAACAAGCATTTAAATAAACAAATTTAATTACAATAATAATCTTTATTTTTTATATTTAAAGTAGGACTGAACATCCACAAACCTGTTTACTGGCAAGAAGAAGTGCAGTGACTCCCAGTAACTGAAAGCAGTCTGCAGCCACTGGAGTGGATGCAAGGAACCTGTCCATGATATTTATGGTCAGACAGCAACACTCAAAGGACAAACTCAAGTGTTGGTGTACAGGAATGAGCCAGCTGACGAGCTTGCACCGAGCTTCTGCATTGAGCTGCAACAAGAGCATGTGAAAATTAGCAATTACCCTGAATTACACTCTGACAACATTGTTTAATAAAATCAACCTTACCTGTGGCTGGCGCGCCAGACTCTTACAGGGATGGAAGTGAGTTTCCCTTTCCTTCTGGATCCTGTAGCCAGTGTCGCCATACTGACGGTACCAGGACAGCTGCCCTGACTGGGATTCTGCGCGCAGGGGGAGCAATTTGGTCTGGTCTGGAGATGGAACTGGAGACAACAACAATTCGTCCTCAAACCCGGAGTCGCTAAGCTTGCACGTAAATTTCTGCTTTCTGTGCCGACTTGTGTGTGCTAACGGTGATGTTCTGTCAGCCCATCTTCTTTTGTGCACATTTTGAGCATCTGAAGGCAAGAATGAAACCATGTCTGACCCTGACTGCGCTTTACTGACTTCTGACTGAGAGTGGGACTAAAGGGAATCTTCTGTTCATCATAGATGACGGCACTTTCCCGGGGTCTTCCCCGCTCCTGCAGTGGGCTGACCCTTTGGGCTGTTGCCCTGAGCAACGGGACAGCGCAGACAGGCTGCGCGCTGTGCGCTTTGGACTGCGCGTGAAAGGGCCGCGCAGATAGTGCACAGTTCCGTTGTTCATTACATTCAACATTAGTTAGGGTAGATGGCAACGCTTTGTAATTATTTTAAACTGCTTTTTAAGCATTAGATTACAACATTAGAGACCAGTTTGAAACAGAATGAATTATTATTATTATTATTATTATTTTCAAGGAAAGCAAAATGCGTGCTCCACGCTTCTTCTTCTTCTTATTCTTATTCTTATTCTTATTCTTATTATTATTGTTATTATTATTATTATTTTCAAGGAAAGCGAAAGCGTGCTCCACGCTTTCGTTTTCCTTGAAAATACGGTAGGCGGGCCTTCCTGAGTGACGCTACATAACAGACAGTTTCTCTCATGGTTTTGGAGCTGAGCAAGACAACAACATGCCAAGTCAGCCCTGAGCGTGACTTTTAAAGCATGCCCTCTACAGAAACGCATAAGGTATTTTGACTGCAATTTCATATGCGTTGTGGGGAGCAGCGTAAGGTGACTTTGAAGCGACGAAACAACAATAACGATAAATTTGCTAAATAATGAACAGAGCAGTCATGCTAGCTGCTAGCAGCTGTAACTAGCTGCTGCATGGCTTAGCCATGAGCTAACAGGAACAAAAGTCGACCAAGTTTGCCTGGTCTGTCTTCTGGATTTCATATTTTTTTGACCTGACGACCTCTAACAAATGCCTGTTACAAAACCGTTTAAAACTACACCAAGTCCTAAGCCATTCTGAAGGTGAAGTCAGAATGGACCTTGTCTCCCAAGATTCGTTTAGATTTGTTAGACCCGTCTAAAGTTTGTGGTCAAGTGATCATATTTAGAATTTGTTGACAGCTTTC